CACTGTTTCACTACTTCTAGTGGGCCCAGAAGGCCTGAAAATCAGCTGGCCGGCACTCGCATGCACGCCAGAGCTGAGCTGGTGTGCCCACTGATATAGCTACGCGTGCCACCTGTGGCACACGTGCCATAGGTTCGCCATCATGGTCCTCGATGTTGTAAGTCAAGAACTACTTGACTTACAACACTTCATTTAGTAACCAAAGTTACAATGGCACTGAAAAAAATGGACTTATGGTGGTTTTTCACACTTACAATCATTGCAGCATCCCCATGGTCATGTGATCAAAATTTGGACGCTTGGCAACTGACTCCTATTTATAACAGTTGTTGTATTCCGAGGTCACCTGATCCCCTTTTGCGACCTTCTGACAAGCAAAATCAATGGGGCAGTCAGATTCACTGAACAACCGTATTGCTAACTTAAGAACTGCAGTGATTCACTTAACAACGGTGGCAGGAAAGGCTGTAAAAAGAGATAAAACTCATTTAGCATCTGTCTCACTTAGCAACAGAAATTTCGAGCTCAAACTGTGGTCCTAAGTCGAGGACTAGCTGTAATGAAGAAGGAAGTTGCAATGTTACAAAACGTCAAGACATGGCGGTGATTTTTCAGCCACGCTTATCCGTAATAAGATCTAGATCTCGTGTCATTTCACCATTACAACTATGGGCTAGTCATTCTTTCTCAGCCCTAACTTTCCTCCCGAGGTTGCTGGAAATATCCATAAGTCTGGCTTCTGACAGGAAATGCGGGGTCAAAAGTCATATATGATCAGCTCAGTTATGCATTTCTTCACTTATAATTATATGATTGTACAGATCCAGACAGGCTGGGAAACGTCCACTTTTGGAGGCCAGGCATAACTGAAATATTTGAAGTAAAACACAAAAATATTGTCTAAATTTCTGATTCTTTTTAAGCTTGAGGCACAGGTTGAATGATCCCTCACCTCCCCAACTCCTAGCATCAGTAATGATGTAATCTTGAAATTCCGCATGTGCTAATTATATTGATTTGTGTGAAATAGCTTAATGACATGCAAAGCAGGCAAAACATATTTAAACTTCTCTAAATTGAATTGCTTTGGTTTGCAGATGTTATAATAATGTCATAGTATGTATGTTTTGGTTGTACTTTGTTTAGAAAGTTAAGAGTCCCCGCACCCATTAGATTAGGCTTCCTAGAGAGAGCATAGAATATGTTCCATTCTAACTGTAAAAAAATCCCTAACTTCACAGGCAGACACTGTACATTGTCCATCTTCTGTAATCATATCTTTCGAACTGGAAATTTTAGGAATTAAGAGATTCTGGGGAAAAATGTGTATTCTACAGCTCAGCCCATTACAGCAGGAATGGACAATGTAAGGACATCCATGCAGACCCCGCCCCATTTCATAGTCACTAAAGCCTTCTAAACGCACAGCATGGAATTTGTCAAATTTGCCATTTTTAGATGGCATAATTTTTTTTTTTTTGGTAGGTTTATCAAGCAGCCCCAGATTCTCTAGCACAACTGAAATATTGCTCTACTCCAGGGGTGTCAAGGCCCGCAGGCTGGATCTGACCTGCAGGGTACTTAGATCTGGCCTACAGGGCCACCTTGGAAACAGCAAAGGATCGGCCAGCGGTGCCTCTGCCAGATAAAATGGAGCTCGTGAGGCTCACATGTGTTCCCCCCCCAGCTCCATTTTTGCTGGCAGAGGGTGGCAGGAGGCCATTGCAGCCAAAAAAGGAGCCTGGGGGGGCCGTGCACTGCCCCCTCCCTCCCCCGAGCTCCATTTTTGCTGGCAGAGGGCGGCAGGAGGCTGTTGCCGCCAAAAATGGAGCTCAGGAGCCTGTTTTCACTGGCAGAGTGCTCGGGCCCCCACAGACAGCCCCGACACGAGTGACGTCAAGCTGCCCATGCCCACCCTGGCCATGCTCACCCCAGTCCCCGAGGTCAAACACAAACTTGTGCCTGTTGTGGCCCTCAATGAAATTGAGTTTGACACCCTCTGTCTTGATGATATATACCACAGCACTCCCCATGCTCCTTCAGCCCTCCAAAATGAAATGATGTCTATACGTATATGTGCATATGTGTGTTTGTAGCTGTTTACTATCCTTGCTATAGATAATAGCCATCTATGTGGCGGGCCAAAGGAATATAAGTAAAGCCTATAATTCGATGGCTGTAGAAGTTTCTTTCCTAAACTCAAACCAAGACAGAAATCCAGAACCCAAATTGTAACATTGTTCTCTGTTCTAGAGACCATTATATGAAAAAATTGCTCCAGAATCTTTTTTTTTTTTAATGTAGCACAGTGTAAATTTAAATTACATTTATTACCTTCTGGTGTGTGTATATGTAAAACGAAATTAATCACTTTTGAAAATTGTGATTCAGGGAAATTCCCAGTATTTTCTCATGTTCTGTTAATGTAGGACTTGTTTTTCTACAATATTGTGGTTTTTAACAGGTAGTGAATAACCACAATATAGAATTTGGAATTTAATTTGTTCTGGAACAGTGAAATGCTAAATCTTGCTGAGAAAACTTTGGGATGGTTGTACTGTATATACAGATAGTCCTTGAGTTATGACCACAATTGAGCCCAAAATGTATGAAACATTTGCTAAGTGAATTTTGCCCTATTTTACGACCTTTCTTGCCACAGTTGTTAAGTGAATCATTGCAGTAGTTAAGTTAGTAATATGGTTGTTAAGTGAATCTGGCTTCCCCATTGATTTTGCTTGTCAGAAGTTCGTAAAAGGGGATCACATGACCCGAAGATACTGCAACTGTCATAAATACAAGTCAGTTGCCAAGCATCTGAATTTTGATCCTGTGACCGTGGGGATGCTGCAATAGTAGTGTGAAAAACGGTCATAAGTCACTTTTTTCAGGGCCATTGTAACTAAATGAATTGTTGTAAGTCAAGGACTACCTTTCTACTTGTGGTAACACATCATTATGTAGGCACAGATAATTAGGAAGAAGGATTTAGGGATCTGATCCTCCATTTAACCCCTTCCCAGAAAACACTATCCATATTTTGCCATAGAAATATGTTGTATTTGGTACTTCTGTTTAGCATTTTTGAATGCATTATGTCTAAAATAAAAGAGAGGGGAACTATTGCAAAATAAGGTGATAAGAATTCTAGAGGGATAGACTGTCAGAAGCAGCAGGAGGGATACTATAATTCTGCTTTCCTGAGCAGAAAAAAAAATGCAAAATAGAAATCCCAAAATGCAAAGACTCAAGTCTTTTCCTTCTCCAATATCGTAGTTATCTGCAAAAGTTTTTTTTTTCCTCATAAACTCACACACATACACATATGGCATCATGTTCTTAGCCAATTAACAGACTGATTACCCACTTTAACCCATCCTAGTGTTTTCACAAAGTGCATAGGACAACAGAAATAGAATAATATCAAATTCTGGTTTATTTCACCCATATAAAAATAATACATAAATAACTTAAATTTCACAGGACAAAGATCAGTGCTACTTTCAGGTTAGCAAATGAATAGAAATGTTTATAAAACATTTTTTTATAATTTTATGCCTTTTCTCTTCAATGTGAAGATGAGACAAATTCCATAGGAATTATATATGTAATATATAATTATATAAATATGTATCTTCAGCCAGCAAACATATATATATATATATATATATTAGGCAATTTTTCTTAGCAGCTTTATAAAAGCATAGATATCCCCACAAAAACCCCCCACAGTTTTTCTCTCTTTCACACCGTTTGTGTCATTACACTCAAATCCCAAAGTATAAATATTAACATCTTATAAATATATTTGCATAAATAAGTTCAGTGCAAATTTTCTCCCTTTGTTTTCACGTCAGAGTTTCCCAATATTGACTCCGGGAAGGATAAGGTGAAAGATGAGGATCGAAATTAATCTTGGATGCCTTTGACTTGGTTTGGCTTCACAGCGTGACTAAGAGTTCCAAATAAGCGGTCCCAGTGCGTAAAGTAAGGTGCATAGTTGAACTTGAACTTCAGGTGGTGGAGATCATGGTGAGGAGCTCCTCCATACAGGCCAAAAGGCACCAGTCGGTGGGTTGACCAAGGCAGGTCATAGCCAGAATGATCTTCTACTGACAACCAGATGTTGGCCGTGAAGAATGTCATTTCCGTCAACGGATGACACCTCAACAGCATTGGACCAACGACAGCAAAGAAACCCAGCCAGAGCAGCTCCCAAACGCTGGCGTACTGTGTGGTCAGAGCAAAAGTAGAGATGTGTTTGTGGTGGATCTTGTGGAAGTTTTTGTAGAGCCATGGCACCTTGTGGTGGAGCAAATGCCACAAAAAGGACAAGAAGTCGAACAGCAGCAGGCAAACAGCGACCTGCAGAAGAAGCGCTGGTACCTCGGGAGCGATGCTGGGCAGGCTCACCGGTCTCCAGTACCAATGCGCAACAGTCACTGGGAAGATGCACACGATGTGGTGATAGATGCTCTGAGCCAGGCAAAGACTCACCATCTGCGGTGTAGGCGAGGCCTGCGGTTGGATTTTATACTTCCTCAAGACGGAGATCCAAGGGCTTAACAGATCCAGAGCGATGAAAGGCAAGCAGAAAGCGGTATAGATTGCAAAATTGAACAGCACCGGGAAGAACGGAGACTTGATCAAGTCCTCCCGCCTTCGGACAAAGTCCCAGAGTGGCTGTAGAGCCGGCACGTTCGGCAAGTCATCCGGCTGGTTACAAAAAAGCAGCGTGCTTCCGTTGTGGTGTGTGCTGATTTCCATTGCAGCCGGAGCCGTCGCTGTGCCTGTTTGTATACTGGAGCTGTTCTTATGCCCGGAGCCCTTTTTATTCTACTCCCGCGGGTGACGTAACGAAAAGAAAACTTCCCGCAAGTAATCAGTTCAGTTCCTTTTTCCTCTTGAAGAAAACGTATCGGGAGGGACGCGGGTGAGGAAATTCCCTTCTCTTCTTCCAAATGTTTATCCTTGGATGAGCTGTCCTTCGCCCTGACACTTTTTTTTTTTTTTTTTTTTGTTACAACAGATTGGATTTCGGAGCTGGAAAGCAGGCAGAGAAAGGATGGCATAGGAATGGCACTGAAAAGAATTATGTTAATGGCATTTAGTCCAGAAGAGAAATGGGGAGTTAAAGATCACAATCTAGCTTTATGATAATTATGTGTATTTTCTTTTTCTTTTTTTTAAAGAATACTTTTATTCTTTAAAATACTTTGAGAAGAGTCCTCCATTCCTCTAACCGCAATAAAATACCTTATGCCACCAGACTTCAAATTTTGGACTTAGACAACTTAGAACTACGCCAACTTCGGTTTGACCTAAGTGTAATACATTCCTACCTGTCAATGACTAATTCAGCTTCAACCACAACAATACACGAGCAAATAATAGATACAAACTCAAGGTAAACCGCTCCAAACTCAACTGCAGAAAATATGACTTCAGTAACAGAGTGGTCAATGCCTGGAATGCACTACCTGACTCTGTGTTTCTTCCCCCAAACCCCAAAACTTTAACCTTAAACTGTCTACTGTTGACCTCATCCCATTCCTAAGAGGTCTGTAAGGGGTGTGCAAAAGTGCACCAGCGTGCCTACCGTCCCTGTCCTAATATTTCTTTTTACTCTTACTCTTTTCATATATTTAAATTATGTTTATACTTTTACCTGTTATCTTATATATGCTTGACAAATAAATAAAATAAATAAATAAATAAACCATCCGAATACTTCTGCTTTGGTTTCTGAGGAGGATTAAAGGTAAAGGTAAAAGTTCACCTCACACATATGTGTTAGTTGTTCCTAACTCTAGGGGGCGGTGCTCATCTCCATTTCAAAGCCAAAGACTCAGCGCTATCCGAAGACGTCTCCATAGTCATATGGCCAGCATGACTAAATGCCAAAGGCACACAGAATGCTGTTATCTTCCCACCAAAGGTGATCCCTATTTTTCTACTTGCATTTTTTACGTGCTTTCGAACTGCTAGGTTGGCAGAAGCTGGGACAAGTAACGGGAGTTCACCCGTTAGCTCCCTGCCGACCTTTTGATCGACAAGGTCAGTGTCTTAGCCACTGAGTCAGCGTGTCCCGCTGAGGAGGATTACATGGTGTTAAAAGGCTGAGAAGCAAAGGCATTTAAAGCAGAAAGTGTGGCATTCTGGAAGCAGAGTCAAAACAAATTTATAGGCATTTTTCAACTGTCAATTTAATAAGCGGCCGGGTTTGATGAGCACTGCCAATGGAGATCACACTTTAATTCTCATCTTGTAATGTGTCATTTCAGAAGTTTTGAAAACATGACATGGGAGAAGGGGGGGGAAGATTCACTGGAAAATTCTTATAGATTAGATAGGATGCCACCTTCAGGGTTCCAGCCTATGTTTTTGTTATTGTATAAAATGAATGAAAGTATTGCAGGCTAACAACAACGAGATGGAGTGGGGTTATCATTCTGACCTTGAATTTCAGGTAGCTTTCAAGGTTCAACCATTCATCTTGGTTACCACAGTATGAGTTATCAATGATTTGGCAAAGTATGTGCTCACATTGGAGTCTCTACCTTGTCATCAGAGCACTCTGAGGCAGGCTGAAGTCAGACTAAGGCTAACCCATATTTTCCATCCTCTATCAGAAGGTGCACGTGTTAGAATGTAGAATACAAGACTGCCCCATTCCTGGAGAGAGAACGGCCATTTTGGTTGGGGTTGCAATGGGGCTGGACACCTCACTGATATGGTTTCATGTGGTTTGTTATTGTTTGGGCCTGAGGATCTTGATCTCATGGAAGGAGAGGTTGATCATGGTGGGAAGCTTGTGGAACTCCCACACGTCCCCATCAATCATTATTTGATTGCAGTACTTTCCATGCTCTGAAAACCACATCTTTTTATTTTTCCAGTTTCTTATCTAGGAACATTCAAAGGGCAACATTCCTATGGCAAAACATCTTAAAAATCCATGAGGTTTCCACTGACAGTAAAAGTAATGGGTTGTTCTAATAGCTGAACTTGGTTTGAGGTTGGTTGTCAGTGGTGATAGTGATACAGGCACTCCGAACTGAGAGCAGTTACTATCTTGAAAGTAACTCACATTACTTTCCACAAGGACAACAACAAACCTTGTGGTTGAAATGTGGAGAAAAGCAGATTGCAATGAAGTTCTTCTCAACTGGGACTCATCACAATGAGACATTAGGACAACTTATTCTGGAAAACAGAATAAAAACAGAACAGAACAGAACAGAACAGTGAACACCCCCAACTCAGATGTCTCACCCTGAACATCAAAACTGAAGCTTTCCTGGTCATCTGGAAAGAGAAGATGCCACTGCTAGCACTTCAGGCAGTCTTCATGCCATGGTGGTTTGATTCTCAGGATCCCTTTAAGAATGAAAAGATCCTTAGGGCTCACATTGTTCTTTCCCTAAAACAGTGGTCACCAACTGGTGGTCTGTGGACTACTGGTGGTCCGTAAGAAAATTTTAGTGATCCGCAGAAAAATTATTTGCATTTTTTATATTGCACTAAATACTATTTATCTTTTTAAAAATCCATATTAGTGGTCTGCGGGATTTAAAATTATGAATTTGGTGGTCCCTGAGGTCCGAAAGGTTGGTGACCCCTGCCCTAAAAGATGGGCTGAGGATCAGCCATACATAATTTCAGCAAAATGCCATTTTTATTTTCAGGGGGCAAATAACATTCATTTAACATCCCTAATATTGTTTCAATACTGAGCCATGTTAATATCTGTCTGTCTAACACAGGGGTGTCAAACTCAGGGCCCTTGGGCCAGATACGGCCCATGGGGTGCTTAGATCAGGCCTAAGGGGCCACCCTGGAAATAGCAAAGGACCACCACAAGGCCCTCCTGGGCTCCGTTTTTGCTGGCAGAGGGTTTCAGGAGGCTGTCAGAGCCGGAAATGGAGCTCAGGAACCCGTTTTCCCTGGCAGAGCACTTGGGCCACCATAGGCGCCCCCAACACGAGTGATGTCGAGCAGGCCACACACACACAAACGAGGTCAAACACAACCCTGATGCAGTCCTCAATGAAATCGAGTTTGACACCCCTGGTCTAACAGAATAACAGAACTATTATTCTGTCTCTTTATCTATCAATCTCTGCATTGGGGTTATTAATCATATCTTGGCTGATTATTATCTATTCTGGAACATTAAGCACTTAGCACTTTTATTATGACTCAATAATCTGTGGACTTGTTTCCAGTTCATAAAATATTATACGCAAGCATAAATAAATACCAAATGTGGGTGAGAGGGTGGGTTTGGAAACTGCAAGATCGAAGGAAAATGATACATAAAAGGGGCAAGCAGTAATAATTACTTAATTAAACCTAGCCTTTAAAGTTGTTCTTTGGTAATGTTAGAAACGCGTTTATCAGTCACGAACTGATTAACATGTCCAACGTGACTTGAGGAGGCACGCAATTTTGTTCAAGTCACAGGAAATAATTGAATATCCTGATGAGACACGGTTACATTGGTTTTGCAATCTATCTTTCAAATCCATCACGTTAGGTTTGTCACTTAATCTCACAACATGATGTTGCACAACCACAAGAACATCCATAAGATCTGTTTCCTTGAGCTGGCCAGCAACCCACTTGGGGGCCACTCGAGGAGGGATGGTCCAATTCTGGAAGCAACCAACATTTCACCCATTCCTGATCTTCATGTTATCATGTCCGCTTCATGTGACAGAGGAAGAAGGCAAAACAGTCACCCTCAAGAAGCATCAACATTGCTCTTCTGTTTGGCCTAAAGAAGACAAGATAGCAAAGGACAAAACAGTAGAATGTCTTGGCTTGGGATAGGAGGAAGAATCCTTGTAGATATGAACATTAATTGCATGTATTATATTTTATATTTATGGCAGGGTATTTTTCCTCTTCCCTTTATTATAGGAAGGAAGGAAGGAAGGAAGGAAGGAAGGAAGGAAGGAAGGAAGGAGGAAGGGGGAGAGGGAGGAGGAGGAAAGGAAGGAAGAAAGGAAAAAGGAAGGAAAGAAGGAAAGAATAAAGGGAGGAAGGGAGGGAGAGAGGAAAAAGGGAGGGACGGAAGGAAATAAAAAGGGAGGGAGGGAAGGAAGAAAGAAAGGAAGGAAGGAAAGAAGAAAGGAAAGAAAAAAGGGAGGGAGGAGGAAAAAGGGAGGGAAGGAAGGAAATAAATGGGAGGGAGGGAAGGAAGGAAGGAAGGAAGGGGGAGAGGGAGGAGGAAGAAAGGAAGGAAGGAAAGAAAAAAGGGAGGGAGGGAGGAAAAAGGGAGGGAAGGAAGGAATAAAAAGGGAGGGAGGGAGGAAAAAGGGTGGGAAGGAAGGAATAAAAAGGGAGGGAAGGAGGGAGGAAAAAGGGAGGGAAGGAAGGAAATAAAAAGGGATGGAGGGAGGGAGGGAGGGAGGGAGGGAGGGAGGGAGGGAAGGAAGGAAGGAAGGAAGGAAGGGAAGGAAGGAAGGAAGGAAGGAAGGAAGGAAGGAAGGAAGGAAGGAAATATAAGAGAGCCAGAATGATCTAATGGTTAAGGCATCAGGCTGGGTGACCATCAATTCTAGTCCTGCCTTAGGCATGAAGCCAACTGGGTGACCTTGGGCCAGTCACTCTCTCCCAGCACTAAGAAGCAGGCAATGGCAAACACCTCTTGAAATGAAATCTTGCCAAGCAATTTCAGGGTCTTGTCCAAGCAATTGCCAGGAGTCAACACCAACTTGAAGGATCATTATCATCAAGTACATAAAGAACCACCCCAACGCTTATTTTCTCTGTCTGTTAATGTTTTTTGGAAAATGAAACGCACAACAGCAATATCAAACAAATATCACTCTGCCCGCTGATTTTAAAGATTTGACTTCTAATTTCAGCCTCGCCATAATTTTTTTACACTTATCAATGACTCAAGGGCATAAATTCTGACAAAATCAATCTGTTGCCATACTCCACAGCTACAGGTACATGTAAAAGGGTAGGTAAATTACTAGGTGCAGGAAATCACACTGCATCATTCATGTCATGGAGGAAAAAAATTAGCTATTTGCTCCATCTACTGGCTACAGATACAGATGCAAGACTTCAGATTTTAATTCTTGCCCTTGGAATTCAACAATCATAGATATGGAAAGGACCATCAAGTCCACACAGTTCTGCTTAGTGCAGGCATCCCAATTAAAGCTGTTCCTTGACTGGTGGATTGCCCAGCCTTGTCCGATGACAAGGTTATTTCCTTAACAGCTGAAGCCGTCTTCCTATAATTTAATGTTATGATTTCATGGACTAACTTTTGGAGTAACGGGACAGGCAATTCTATGTCGCCCTCCTGGGGTACTTGAAAAGTGTGAGCAAGTCTTCTTTCGAATTTGCCATGACAGCTTCTTCCATCTCTCTTGAAAATATTTCATTTTTAAATTTTTGATCATTCTCATTTGTTGTTCTGTGAACTAAGCTTAAGGGGCAATAAATAAGGGGCATTTTGCTTTCAGTTGAAGAGACTATTATTCAGCATTGAATCGAGGAGTTCTTGGCGCTCTTTAAGATTGATTGTATGCCTACAGAGATTTCATTAGCCAATTAGGTAAGACCATTAGTGCAAGAGCTCAGAGGACACCGACATTTCCAGAACCCAATGCTTTAAAAAAAAAAAAAAAAAAAAGATATTCTGGTTTGCCTGTCCTGAATGCAGATATCTTGTTAATTTTCTCTGTTCTGTGAGAAAGACAATAAAAACAAATTATTTAACATTCTGTTCTCTTTAACCCAGGGGTGAAATCTAAAAATTTTCCCTACCGGTTCTGTGGGTGTGGCTTGGTGGTCAGGTGACCTGGTGGGCGTGGCTTGGTGGTCAGGTGACCCGGTGGGCGTGGCCAATAATAATAAATAATAAAAATAATAAACAAAATAAACAAAACAATAAGAGGTACCAAAAACCAACTTTTACACTTTACGCACATACAACACAACACAACACAACACAACTGACTCACACACAATCCAAAAGCAGCTGCACTTGACCCAAAATGGCCCCTGCAACAAGCAGGAACCTCACACAGCCACAAAAAGCTCAAAAACCAACTTTCACACTTTTTCCACACAAAATGCCACATACAGTTACTTACCAAATTGAAGGCACAAGGCAGGCAGGCAGGCAGATTGAGTTGCTCCCCGATTGGATTGATTGCAGGCAGGCAGATTGAGTTGCTAGCGGATGCAATTGATTGCAGCACCGAAGCAAGGCAGGAAAAGTGAGCGAGCCTGAAAGAAGTAGCAAGCTGCCAAGTGGGCAAGTGGGGACCGGGCGATTGGGTGGGCATGGGCGGGGGGGCAGGGATTTTTGCTACCGGTTCTCTGAACTACCAACTGCCATTGCTACCGGATTGCCTGATCCGGTCCGAACCTGGAGCATTTTACCCCTTCTTTAACTACATAACCCTGCTACAGATTTTGTGCTTCTCCTATTTAATAATGGTTGCAAGGCTGCCATTAGTTTTCAGCAGCTGTAGTTGGAAAGGACTCTGGGTAACGCAAAAAATAATTTAGAGGTCATATGTTTCCAATGTCATTAGGTTGCTGACTTTATCAAATACTCCAAAGGTTGTGATTGGTTTATTTCTTTTCTGCCCCACTTATAAATGTTACAGAAATATCTGGTTTATCAATTGTGCAAATAGAACTCTAGAAAAAAATGACCCATTCAAACCCTCATAACTGTTTACCAGAGATAGTATATCAACATGACTTGTCAGTTGTTCATGTCCCTGTTGTGTTTTCATTAGCAATAGCAATAGCACTTAGACTTATGTACCGCTTCATAGTGCCTTACAGCCCCCTCTAAGCGGTTTACAGAGTCAGCCTCTTGCCCCCAACAATCTGGGTCCTCATTTTACCCACCTCAGAAAGATGGAAGGCTGAGTCAACCTTGAGCCTGGTGAGATTCGATCTGCCAAACTGCTGACAGCCGGTGATCAGCAGAAGTAGCCTGCAGTACTGCACTCTAACTACTGTGCCATCGCGGCTCTCATTAAATTTACATTCGAACATACAGTAGAATTTCATGTGTTCAATAATTATGAAAATGGTTGCATCATTTTCAATTTAAATTTAGAAAAGAAGAGTCATGATTTAGGACTAAACTTTGGTTAATCTGGCCTGAAGGTATAAGGTGCACCAAAGTCACCAAATCTATAATTTGGAAGGCGACTGGAGAACTCCACACAGCTCTGTCCTTTGAACATTTTAATTTCACCCGTAAACCTTTCCCAAAATCTCACTCTACAGAAATGGGTTGGAAATGTTGGCCTATTAGCTTTTTTTTTTTTTACATTTCTCTTCAAATCTTATCCCTCCAAATGGCCAAAAATATAATTAGCCTCATCTGATCAAGGATGACCGTGGAAAAATAACTTCTTTAAAAAGAAAAATAGTGTCTAGGCAGGCAGGCAGGAATCCACTCTGTTTGATGAATTGGGGAGAAAACTGTTTTTAAGGATGAGAATTCTCAAAACTAAAAAAAAAGTAAGTATAAAATGCTCTGGCCATGTATTGCAGCACCCTCTTGTGACAAAATAAATATTTGACTATAATTTAATCAAGCTGTTCTTGAATTTTGCCCAAAATAAGGAAGGTGGCAGCACAACATGGCTAATTAGGATTAAAAACCAGAAAGATGTGTATTGGTTTATTTGATTGCCAGTTCCGTAATCTACATTGCTTTGTGGAAAAATAATGCAAAATATGTTCTCAGAAATGTACCATTTTTCCTTGCTACCACTTCAGATCATTTTTTACATACAGTATTGCAAATGAACACACTATTGCACATTGCAATTTTACTTTGTTCGCTATCATTAATTTTTTTTGTAACAGGATGTATATTGCAATAGTCTGGGTTTTTTTCTACTCTCCCACTGACCCCATAGTAATAAGCACTATAGATCCACTCCCGGCTAGTAAGAAACAGTTAAAAGTCACCAATATGAAAGGATAAAATCATGAAAAGCATGTTTTAAAAATAGCATTACAAAGAATCAGATCAGCAGGTTGGAGTACAATTTCTCATCCGCTTTTTAAAAAGCATATTCCCATGTGGTACACTAGGGAATTTTGGACCAGCGTGGTAGAGAAAATGGACTTGGAGACTTTCCTCCTTCTTTTTTGGATATGATCAGGGTCAAATCCAGTTCATGTCTTTTCCTGCTTCTACCGTGTTTCCCCAAAATAAGACCCTGTCTCATATTTTTTTGAATCCTGAAATAAGCGTTTGGCCTTATTTTGGGGGCGGGGGTCTTATTATTTTGGGGGGCATGGAGCAAGACGGGGATCCTCTTGCTGTCTTACCTCATTTCCAGCTCTGTCTCGCTAACCATAACCAGAGGAAATGGCGGGGACCGGCTGCGCGTGCATTTAAATATTTTCAGGGAGGGCTTATTTTTGGGAGAGGGTTTTTTCGGGGGAGGGCTTATTATCCAGGGAGGTCTTATTTTGGGGAAAACATGGGATCAGATCAGATCATAACTGCTCTCTGTTCCAGACAGAGCATGGCTGCAATTCCATCTAAATCCCCCCAAAACACTAGCCTCCTCTTCAGCTCACAGCACAATGCAAGGCAACACTTAAAAAGGAGGTTGCAATCTAGTGAAACTCCAAACCTTCTATCAGCTGATGAACTCCGCATTCCATCTCTTTCACAATGAACTTCCCCCGGTGTCTCCTGAAAGATTCATTTTGCCTAAAAATAGAACTAACCCCTGGTACATTGACAAGGATCTGCCCAGCATCTTCAAACTGGCCAGCGAATTGGATCGCTAGGATTTCCCACATTGCAACCTTCCATGTCTATAAAACCCTTTATTTTTTCCATTGTTCGGGGTCCCTCTTTCTTGTGAAGCAGGCACCCAATGATCGTTGCAGTAAACATGGATCTTCTCCTCAATGTTCTGCTATTTCTTCAGGCTGAATCAGGGGTGAAATGCTACCGGTTCGGACCGGTTCAACTGAACCGGTAGTGATGGCGGTGGGTGGTTCAGAGAACTGGTAGCGACGGCAGCTTGAGGTTCCGCCCACCAGCTCAGTCATTGTTACTTCCTGGTTTTAACCAGGAAGTAACCTGTTTTTTACCCTCTGTGCATGCACTTCCGAACTGGTAGAAAAGGTAAGTAGATTTCACCCCTGGGCTGAATCCGTGACACAAAATGTTTCCTAGGGAGGTGGAGCTTGACAAACGACACCCAGTCAAAAGCAAGAGAGCCATTTATCCAAAGTCACATGAGATGGAGGGATGAGATTTTTCCCTCTCCCACCCTTCTCGCGTCCAGAGTTTCCTGACATCTCACTTTACCTTTGTACTGTATTCCTTCCAACTCAGCAGAGAACATTGTCTAGCACTGTAATCACAGCTGGGTGGGTACCAGTGAACATTGTATTGTCATTCCTGCTGACTAAACAGTTTTAATTGCCCCAATTTCAGCTTCTTTTTCACAAGGGAGATTTAAAGTTTCATTTTGATTTTTTTTTTTTAACACAGTAAAATAGTGGCTGTCAGGAAGCAAGAATGTGCAAGAATTGCAATGTGGGAATTGCAGCTAATAGGAAATACCCATTTGTGCTACATTCTCTGAACACACAATTTACCTTTTCTTATATAAAGGCAGCCCCTGATGTATGACTGGTTGGTCAGCAACCATTTGAAATTCCAATGGACCTACCTGGTGTGTGTGTGTGTGTTTATGACCTGGATTTGAAGATCTGAAGGTCGACACCCCCCCCCAATCATGTGACCACATTTCGGGCTCTTGGCAATCAGGCTGCATTTGCAGCCATTCACAGCATTCTGTGCTCGCATGATGGCGTTTTACAATGTTCGTGCCAAAACCTGATATTTACTTCCAGTTTTCAGCAAACCCTGCCCATAGCAAACCATGGGTTTGCTTAACAACCACAGCGTTCACTTAATGACTATGGCAATTGCTTCACGGATGTGCTTTTTGCTCAATGACCACTGCAAAAAAAGGTCATAAAATTGGGTTAGTCATGTGTCCAATCTGCTTTCTGACCATCACGAGTTCCGGCAGACCCCATTACAGTCATAACTCAAGGAACAGAATGGAATGGGGGGAAAAAGATGACCATGGATTAAAGCCATCTTGTACCATCTCAGCCTTAGATCTGGTTTTTTTTTTCTGTATCATGGAATGGGGCAAGAAACAGATTGCTGTTGGACACTTCCCTGGGCCCCTGCCATGTTCTGTCAACCCGCCTGATTTTATGTCGTAATACTATTTTAAACAGGAACTTGGCATGGTGTTAAACAAGCCACCAACTTCTAGCAGCAAGAATGCCTTTGGACCAGTGGTGGGATTCAAATAATTTAACAACCGGTTCTCTGCCCTAATGATTTCTTCCAACACCCAGTTCACCAAACTGCTCAGAAAGTTAACAACCGGTTCTCCCGAAGTGGTGCGAACAGGCTGAATCCCATCACTGCTTTGGGCCCTAGAGAAAAAAAAATGGAGGCTAATTGCAGTCAAGTGCTTCTTTAGCATTGTGCCCAAAGCTTGAGAAAACAAGTATGTCATTCAGGATACTGCTTATAAGCACTTATGTGCTTAGAGCTCAAAGCATTGTTAAAGACCCCACACACCCACTTCACGGTCTGTCTCTGTTGCTCCCCTCTGGGAGGAGGTTCCGAAGTATTTCTAGCAGGACTACCAGATTCTGTAATAGCTTTGTTCCCTATGCCATCCTTCTGGTAAACTCGCAAGATTTGTTTTTCTCGCCATGTACATCCGAACTAGACTGTGTTGTTTCTCTGTGTCATATATGTGGGTATACGCATAATTTTGTATTTATTTATTTATCTTGCCATGTTTATGTTTATATTAGAGGTGGAGACCCTTTGAGAGCTGTATGCAACGTAATTTCATTTTAATATATGCCGATTAGTGTACATTCAAAGTGGCAATCAAGTATTCTAAGTCTAAGATCAGGAAACCATAATGGAGTGTTTCTCAAACTTTTTTTTTTTCATTAACCAAAATTGCTTATCGGAAAGCCCTTTTTACCCGATGTAGATAATACACTTTATTTAAGTCAACTTAAAAGGCCCTGTTATGATTGGGTAATGGATTTGTTCTGTGCTACCCTAAGAACTACTTTTAACCAATTTTGGGTAATATATCCATGTTTGGTATACACTGCTATAGTGTGTTGACTTTCTTATTCTCTGTATATACAGTACCTGTGCAAGCACAATTTCTCACCAAGGAACTAACCAGGGTATGTGAATATGTGAAATCTTGGATCTGTGAAAATATAATCAGTATGGGAGTATATGGGTGACATCTGTGTGTGAGAGAACTTAATTTAATTGGGTTGTCTTGCTTTAACATCAGGCTAAAAATCAGAGATTATAGTCATATTTGTGAATTGCCACTGTAAGAAAATGCTAACTCTAAGAACACCTGCCTACCCTACAAGTGTAACATTTATCTAAATTATTAATTCACTTCCCAATTATGATCATGAACAATATTTCTTCAAATTCTAGTGTGGACATAACCTAAATTAGCCACCACTGTTAAAATTGGAATTAATTCTTTGTAGAGCCTGTTGGATATATTGCTAGTGTATGTAGTCTGTTAAATTAAATAGCAAGAAAGTAACTATGTTTTCACTAACCTTCCCCATTTACTGACACTCAACATTTCCACCCAGAATGTTGGCAGTTGAAAGTCTAAAATAGTATTTCTCAAAACTTTACAATGTGTGGATTTCAGCTTTCAGAATTCCCCAGCCAGCTCTGCTGGGGAATTCTGTTGGTCTAAAATATCTTGAGTTATTTTGGTCTTAAATACTAGTTTAGAATATCTTGAGGATACCATATGTCATTAATCTTATATCGTTTCCAAGCACACATCAAAATCTTGGTCATAAATTTGAAGGAACTTCTACCATGCCGAATATCCCCCGTGGAGTACTTAGCATTAATTTTAACCTAGCTTTATAAAACATTCTGTTAGGAAATGATTTTACCTAACTTGTTGGGTTGGCAATATATAAACCATCAATATAGCTTTAAGACTGCTGTATTGTATCATACTGTGTCCTGATTGGTTAGCTCTGTAGCCAATGTCCTTGAGAGGGAAGTAGAAACATGGCTTGTTTCTCTTTACTGCTCTTTGATGCTCTTTGCTGTTTGGTATTACCTCTGTGTTTGCTACTGTTTGCAACTGTTTATATGACTACAACGACTGGTAAGAATACTTTGTTATTGGGTTATCCCTGGACTATTGTTTTACTATCTACTACTTTATCTGTGTATGACCTGGACTGTTTATTGGACTATGCCTTATTACTATTTCCTGAAAGTAAACACAACTCAATGTATCTGTGTGTTGGCTGTTATTTCCTAACTACTCTCAATCGCTTTCATGCGCACACCCTTGCTACTCAAGGGTTGCTCTGCGAATTCCTCCACACATTCCTCACAGCCATAATTATACTTCTATGAGCAATCTCTTTTTCTCCCCATCTACCATCTTGGAAGTATTATTTAGACAATATGTCCTGCCTTTCTCTGCTTTATTTACATGATCAGGATCATTGACTTCAGCTTTCAAAAGAATTGGATTTATAATTGTTATAAGACAAAGACACACCAGGTCTTTTCTATTCAAAGATCTACCTCAACAGATGGCAGGACCAACTGGTCTTGGCTAATCTCAGAAATGAAACTGCCAATAACTATTTTGCTATCCCTATTCAGATGAGCGGCCCTGAGTCTTCGGAGAGGGGCAGCATATAAATTTAATTAATTAAATTAAATTACATTACATTAAATTAAATTAAATGAGCAATCACCTACCTGGAAATTCCATGGCTCCTACTCAATTGGGAAACCGGAAAACATTTCAATGAAAGGAAAGAATAAATCACTTCCATAATACTGGCAAAGAAATAGGATAGGTACAATCACCCAGAGTCAATAGCAATAGCACTTAGACCTATACACTCCTTCATAGTGCTATGAAGCACTAGTGCATAGTGCTTCATAGCACTCTCTAAGCGATTTACAGTTAGCATATCAAACTTTGACCTACAGATCTTTGTTCCTCTTTATACTCTATTTTTGTCGTAGCATTTCCCACCCCCTCCAAGTGTTTTTTCCCCCAGATCAGCCAAGTTTGAGCCATTGGTTGTACAAGAATTGACTGACCACCTTGTCACCTGAGCCTGAAGTCATGGCCTGAAAGAGACTGACCCAAAATCACCCGGTTGGCTTTTATACTTGAGGCAAGACTAGAACTTGATGTGCTCAATATTAAGTTTTCCATTAACAGATTGGATTGTCTGGGTCACGCTTACTTTGGTTGGGTTTGTCAGTCAGAAACTTGACAATATCATGTCCTGGAGATCTAAACATAACAGATAAAAGTCTTCAAATGTATGGTCAAGTCAGGTTTTCCATATGGTACCCTCTACAGAAGGTGAGTTGAGGTTCAGTGCCCATAATCTCCCAACTAGCATTTCATATGGCCAAGAATTGTAGGTTTGGAAGTCTGACACGCATAAGGACAGCTGGTTGGGAAAAATTTTGTAAGTAGAATAAAATCTGCTATAATAAGATTAAGATTCCTTGTTTTGGATGTACTCTACTACAGGGGTGAAATGTAAAAATTTTTGCTACCGGTTCTGTGGGCGTGGCTTGATGGGCATGGCTTGGTGGTCATGTGACCGGGTGGGCATGGCCAAATTGACACCACTCACTGTTAGAGCCAGGAGCACATTCCCTCCCACTCCTTCCGCCAATCCTCCATACAAACCGCCCACCCCGTTTCTGCAAAGGCAGAGCCCCCTCCCCTGCAGGGCAATCCAAAGAGGGGAGGGGGATGCTGCAGAAAAGGCCGCCTTCCATCCGTGCCAGCTCTGCAGGGGTTGGGGCTCCAAAGCAGCCCACTGGATTCCCACTCAGCCACCTGCCTCCAGCGCCAGTCTGGGAACTTGGCCCGCGGAGTCCAGCACTCCAGGGGAAGGAGGCACAGCCACGGTGGTGCTTCCCGGCAGCGAAGAAGCAGAGTGAGAGGGGCGGAAGCCGCCGGTGGGGCACAACCCCCCCCCATGCAGGGAGAGGGCCAGGCCCAGCCACGCCACCACAGAGCCCGGGACGCTTTCCCTTCGGCCTGGCTGCACTTGTAGTCATGTGGCTGGCCGGAGCGGAGCATGGTGCGGGGGACAGGCATATGCAGCAAGAGGTGCGCCAGTGCCGCCTTGCCCGCCTTCCCCACGTCCATGTGCTGAGCATGGAAAGGGCAGCTGCTGCCGCTGCTCTCACCACCCTCCGTGCCCACCTGACTGCAGATTTCTGCCTGCCAGAAGCAACCTCCCAAAGTAACCCGCCACCGTTTCCTTTCGTTTTGTGGTGGGAGAAACACACAGAGGCTTGGAATGGCAGCACCCAGATACCTTCCGGGGCCTTTAAGAGCTCCTGAGTGGATCCACTGCCACAGAGCAGATCCAGGCGCTGCCATTCCAAGCCTCTCTGTGTGTGTCTTTGCTCCTGGTCTTTCGCAGCAGCCCATGCACGATGTCCCGTCCCTGGCTGCCCATCTTAAAGAGTGAGTTTAAGAGTTTATTCGATTTCTATACCGCCCTTCTCCTGAAGGACTCATTACAGCCATATTAAAATACATAGATTTATAAAATTTAAACCAATTAAAATCAATATATAAAATTGCCCTGCAAGTTAAAACATACATACACCCATAATAAAAAATCGTATTAGGCCAGTCCAGCTTGCTGGAATAGGAGGGTCTTAAGTGCGCGGCGAAAAGTACGCAGGTCGGGGCTAAGATGGAGCTCCAGGGGCAACTCATTCCAGAGGGCTGGTGCCCCCACAGAGAAGACTCTCCCCCTGGGTGTCGCCAGTTGGCATTGTTTGGCCGATGGCACCCTAAGGAGTCCCTCTCTGTGGGAGCGTATTGGCCGTGGGAGGTTGTTGATGGCAGAAGGCGGTCTCGTAGATACCCCGGTCCTAAGCCATAGAGCTCTCTAAAGGTGGTAACCAACACCTTGAATCGCAGCCGGAAGACCACCGTGAGCCAGTGCAGCTCGCGCAGGAGGGTTGTTATGTGGATGCGCCAAGTCGCACCCATAACCACCCACGTGGGCGCATTCTGGACCAGTTGGAGCCTCCAAGTGCTCTTCAAGGGGAGCCCCATGTAGAGAGCATTGCAGTAGTCCAGACGGGACGTCACGAGGGCATGAGTGACTGTGCACACGGCATCCCGGTCCAGAAAGGGACTCAACTGGTACATCAGGCGAACCTGATAGAAAACTCCCCTGGCCATGGCCGTCATATGATCTTCCAAAGACAGCCATGCATTCAGGAGAACACCCAAGTTGTGAGCCCTCTCTGTGGGAGCCAGGATCTCACCAATAGTCAGCAATGGAGCCATCTGACTATACTGGGACGCCGGAAGCCACAGCCACTTGGTCTTGGAAGGGTTGAGCTTGAGCTTGTTTCTCCCCATCCAGATCCGCACGGCCTCCAGGCACTGGGACATCATGTCAAGGGCATCAATGGGGTGGTTCGGGATGGAGATGTACAGCTGAGTAACATCAGCGTACTGATGGAACCTCACCCCAAAACCACAGATGATCTCACCCATTGGCTTCACATAAATATTGAACAAAAGGGGCGAGAGGACTGACCCTTGCGGCACCCCACATACAAGGTGCCTTGAGGTCGCCCTCTGCCCCCCTGCCAAGACAAACTGCATACGGTCGGAGAGGAAGGAGAACCACCGCAACATGGTGCCCCCCACTCCTAACCCCTCCAATCGTCGCAGCATGATACCATGGTCGATGGTATCAAAAGCTGTTGAGAGATCTAATAGGACCAGGACAGAGGAGCAACCCCTGTCCCGAGCCCTCCAGAGATCATCAACCAATGTGACCAATGTCATTTCTGTGCTGTGCCCAGGCCTGAAGCCCGACTGGAACGGATCTAGATAATCAGCTTCATCCAGGTATTGGGGAAGTTGTCGCGCCACCACTCTCAACAACCTTCGCCACAAAGCGAAGGCTGGAGACAGGGCGATAATTAGCTAGTACAGCCGGGTCCAGGGAAGGCTTCTTGAGGAGAGGCCTCACCACCGCCTCTTTCAAAGAGGGGGGAAGTAGCCCTCACTCAAAAGAAGCGTTAATAATCCCCTGGAGCCAGCCTCGTGTAACCTCCCAGGAGGCCAGCACCAACCAGGAGGGACATGGATCCAATAAACATGTGGCTTAAAGGAACTTCGCTCTGCCCCCGCTGCCCCGGGAAGGGGAGTGGGCACCTTGGAGGTTCTAGCTGCCCCAGAGACCCCTGACTGGCCTGCCCAGGAGGCGCAACAGGTGAGGCAGTGGTTGCCCCCGGCAGGTTTGAAATGGCAGCGCCCAGATCTGCTCCGGGGCCTTTAAAAGCAGCAGAAATCAGCTGTCACGTCGCACGACCCCCCAGGCAGCCCCCCCAAGCAGACCCACCGCCCAAGGAGCGCGATCTGGGGGCAGCTTCAGCCAGCCCAGCCCAGGAAAGGCCAGAAGGGGTGAATTCCCGAACTCCGGTTCAGCCAGCTGGGGATGAGACATCAGACACAGGCTGCTACGAAAGACCAGAAGCAAACACACACACATCGGTACTGGTGAGGTTTTTAGCGAGCAGCGCAGGAAGCCAGACTTGCCTTCATAGGTACAAAAGTTTCCTACAAATGGAGAAACGGCAGGAGCAAGTAAGCGCTTCTTTTTGCACTTGCTCCTGGCGTTTTTCCACTTGGAGAGGAGGAGGAGGAAGACGACGAGGGCAACAATCCTGGGCGTGTGAAGCAAGGCATGAAAATCCGCAGCAGGAAGCTCAGGGTGAATGAAAAGGGGGAGCAGCCAAGTACTTTGTTTCTCCAGAACTAATAGAAAAAAATGCTTAAAAAGTAAAAAAAAAAAAAAAAAAAAATTCTCACGATTGTGCATCACTCAGCTGATCGTCGGAACTTTTTTTTTAACTTTTTAAGCATTTTTTTACTACTGGTTCTCTGGAAGTAAAAGCAGGAAGTAACGACGACTGGGTGGGTGGGCGGAGCCTCGAGTTGCCATTGCTACCGGTTCTCCGAACCACTGGCCATCATCGCTGCCTACTCGCCCGAGCCAGTCCGAACTGGGAGTATTTCACCCTGCTCTACTGCGAAGGAAACATGATTTCTTTCAAGCATTCCCAATTGTAATCTTCATCCCTTTAGCTGCTGAATTTCATAGAATTAAACAAAAACAAATCAGAACAATTGTCCTGGCCGTTTCTCTATAACCCACCATCAATGAAGAGAAGTTGAAGTATCTTTAGGAACACAAATTGCCAAACTGATTTCTCCTTTTCATCACTCCTTATGGGCCTGTAAAGTGACAAAAGTTCTAAAATGTAGCAGAAAATTTAAGGGCAAAATATTCAGGCGACTTAATGTTGAATCCTCCTTTTAACATTTTCATAAAGCCCCATGTGACACAGCCGTAAGATGTATATGACAGAGGATGGAATTTGATAGAGTCTGTATACCTCTAGCATTCAAGACATTAACATTCTTGGGAAGAAGAAATCTCATTCCAACCAGTTTAAGGAAAACAACCATCTTCACTGGGTTCAATTTTTGCTCTTTGTTGTTCTGCATTGCCTTCTTAGGCTGGTGAAAAGCTCTGTTGCAATGAAGCCACTTTCCAACACCGCAGACAAGTTCTTCCACTGATCTGCAACCCATTTTATTCGATATTTAATTCTAATACACGTTGAAAACTTTCAGGATAGCAATTAAGGCAGTTGAAGCATATTTCATTATAAAAGATCAAGAGTTTATTTCCAAGAGAACAGTCTCTTCTACACATGATATTGCCTTTAATAGCTGTCCACTCTCCTCTTAAAAACCTTCAATGTTGGAGCACCCACAACTTCTGGAGGCAAGTTGTTGCACTAACTGTTCTAACTGTGATTAGATCATGGTTAGGTTCAAACAAAAAGTGGACCCATCCAGTGGTGGGTTTCAAAATTTTTTACTACGGGTTCTGTGGGTGTGGCTTGGTGGGTGTGGCATGGTTTGGTGGGCGTGGCATGGGAAGGATACTATAAAATCTCCATTCCCTCCCCACTCCAGGGGAAAGGTTACTGTAAAATCCCCATTTCCTCCCGATCAGCTGGGATTCAGGAGGCAGAGAATAGATGGGGGCGGGGCCAGTCAGAATTTTTACTACCGGTTCTCCGAACTACTCAAAATTTCCGCTACCGGTTCTCCAGAACTGGTCAGAACCTGCTGAAACCCACCTCTGGATCCATCCCTCTGCTGCAAGTTTTTAATGTTGTATGGTTCAGTATAGGACCAAAATGCTAACTAATTGTATTTATTTTTATTAAGTGGATTAAATGATTCTGTGGTTTTTTTCCCCTTCAAACATCAGGTCAAAGACCCAATTTCAGTCAAATGTATATTAAAAAAAAAAGATTTCAGCAACTTGTATTCAGTGTTCTTTTACTAATGTTCAACTTTCCCTTAATAGAGGCAATCTCCTCTCTTCGTGAGTATATTGTTGCTATGACCTATCAAAGTTCCTTTTAAAATGTTGTACAATTATTTTCTTAATTAGGCTCATAATTAATTTCCCAGAAAAGGAAACACAGCTCACTGTTCTGTAATCCTCTTGATTGCATCTGACTTTTAAAAAATTTGTCAGCTCTGCATTTATACACACCGTTTATTAAATTTTGGGATTGTATTTGTTGTTTTCATAAACCCACACTCCATATATTGTTCAGGCTTTATTTAACTTATCTGCTCCAGAGTGGGCTCCTTAACCAGACCCACCCAGAGCAGCTGAAACAGATAGAAGAGGTGATAGATATAGAATATGTTACTTTAAATTGTAAAAAGAGAAAATTATTTCTAATGGTCCTGAATTTTATGCTGTAAAATCACTGCAAATTGAACTGTTTATTTATTTTATTAAATTTATATGCCGTCCTTCTCCCGTAAGACTCGGGGCGGCGCACAGAATAAAAACATGTAACAATAAGAAATCCTAAAAACAGCCAATATAAAACCCCAAACAGAATAAAATCTCGTAGCAGATCAGGGAAATTGCTGAAACAGCCATGTCTTCAGTGCGGAAAGTGTGGAGGTCAGGAGCCTCCGTTTAGAGTCTGGCCAGGATCCTTCACTGCTAGGGAGAGTGTTTATGCCTGAATAAAGTTTGATATTACACATGTGGCCTAAATATCACCTCCAATCTGTTCTACTAATTCTTTTAAGGGCATATGTTAATCACACTCTTTTTTAAGAGTTGAAATCAGAGCGTTAAAAAAAAAAGAAAGAAATTCGTGTGTATGATATTCTATCATACACACGGATATATAAAAGAATTTATTACAAATATAATGTGGTATGTCAAGGTTAAAAGTTGGAAAACAAGGATTATATATATATTTAATTGCATTGTTATTGTTAGCATTGTGTAAAAAGTATATTGAGCCAGTCAATGCATTGTCCACAAAGTATGGGTGGATGTTAAAGGAAAATTCCAAATAAAACATAGATGATAGATGATAGATAGATAGATAGATAGATAGATAGATAGATAGATAGATAATAGATAGATAGATAGATAGATAGATAGATAGATAGATAGATAGGGAGGGAGGGGAGAGAGAGAGAGAAATTCAAGATGTAGGATCAATGAAACAGGATAATTTCTGCCTGGCTATCACTGCCTTCTCCTCTTGAAGCACATCCATTAAATTCCCAAATAGTTTTTTTACCTTAGAACATTCTGAAATGTGCATCTGTGCAGGAGGAGAGAAACAGGATAGTGGCATTGGAAACATGTGTTCAATATATGGCCCAAGTCTCAGAATCAGTTTGATAATGATACATAATTGTAACCTCTTCTGCTGCTTTAAATGATTAATCATCATGCTGCGGGAGGAAAAAAGAAAGGAAGAAAAGGAAGAAAAGGAAGGAGGAAGAGAGAGAGGAGAGGAAAGGGAAAGGGAAAGGGAGAGGGAGAGGGAGAGGGAGAGGAAAGGAAAGGAAAGGAAAGGAAAGGAAAGGAAAGGAAAGGAAAGGAAAGGAAAGGAAAGGAAAAGGAAAGGAAAGGAAAGGAAAGGAAAGGAAAGGAAAGGAAAGGAAAGGAAAGGAAAGGAAAGGAAAGGAAAGGAGTCACTCCTCCTCCATACAAAATGGAAACAAAAAAAAATTATCAGGGAGGAGAAAAACTAATAGTTTAATGCTTTTGAAAGAAAATGAATATTAATCAATTTAGAGCACAGAATAACAGAACTGAAAAGCATCTTGGAAATATTCCAGTCCAACCTGCTCCTGAAGCAGGAGTTCCTATACTATTTCAGACATATGGCTCTCCAATCTCTTCTTAAAAGCCACCAGTGATGAAGCACCCACAGCTTCTGAAGGCAACTTCTGTTCCACTGGTTAATTGTTCTAACTGTGAGGAAATTTCTCCTTAGTTCTAGGTTGCTTCTCTCCTTGATTAGTTTCCACCCATTGCTTCTTGTCCTGCCCTCAGGTGCTTTGGAGAACAGCTTAACTCTTTCTTCTTTGTGGCAGCCCCTGAGATATTGGAACACTGCTATCATGTCTCCCCTAGTCCTTCTTTTCATTAAACTAGACATACCCAGTTCCTGCAACCGTTCTTCATATGTTTTAGCCTTCAGGTCCCTAATCATCTTTGTTGCTCTTCTCTGCACTCTTTCCAGAGTCTCGACATCTTTTTTATATTGTGGTGACCACAACTGGATGCAGTATTCCAAGTATGGTCTTACTAAGGCTTTATAAGTGGTATTAGTACCTCACTTGACCTTGATTGTATCCCTCAGTTAATGCAATTTAGAATTGCACTGGCTTTTCTGGGCTGCCACCACATGCTGCTAGCTCATCTGTAAATGACTGTCCATTTGGAAGCCAAGATCCCTCTCATTTGCTGCGTAGCTCCTGAGAGGAAGACACATTGCCATCAAACAATCCTTTCCTTGCAAGACCTTCAGCTCAAAATGTGGGAGAAGGATAGTAACACCAGTTTCCTCTCTTGGGAATATAGAGCTGCTATTAAAACAGGGGTGTCAAACTCAATTTCGTTGAGGGATGCATCAGGGTTTTATTTAACCTCTGGGGGCCGGGGTGGGTGTGGCCAGCTTGACGTCACTTATGTCAGGGACGCCTGTAGCCTGAGTGCTCTGCCAGTGAAAATGGGCTCCCGAGCTCCATTTTCAGCTGTGACGACCTCCTGCAACCCTCTGTTGTGGCCCCGCCCTCTGAGCCTATTTCATCGGAGGAAGAAAGCTCCGAACATGAGGAAGAGGAGTCAGCCAGGCCTCCCTCTCCAGGCCCCTCTCCTCTGGCACTGTCTCAGGTGCCAGCCGAGGGAGAGGAGATTAGCCAGGAGCCAGGTGTCTCGGATGAGAGCGAAGGAGAGCCGTCATTCCTGGATGCACGCCAACGAAGGCGTGATAAACGGTTGCAGCAGTTAAGGAGGCGTGCTAGGGATTAGAACTGAGTCACTGGACCACACCCCAGAGACTATATAAGAGAGGGTGGTGGCTGGTAAAACTCCGTGACGAACAAAAACGAACGTTGGCTAGTCACTTGAACAACGTCTGAAGCTGCCGAAGGGATATTGTTTTGCTGGACTATTTGCAATGCGTATGTAATTTTATGTTATCTGTTGCAGTAAAAGCTCTTGGCAGACGGTGATTATATTGCTGCCAAGTTTGAGATAACGACCTGTGTGCGTGCCAAGTACTTTCTTAACCCTCGGCTGGCTGTGTTTGTGTGTGTGTGTGGACGGGGACAGATCACCCTCCACCAGTGAAAAGGGAGTTCCGGAGGGCCACAAGCTGGTCCTTCGCTCTTTTCAGGGTGGCCCCGTGAACCAGATCTAAGCACCCCGTGGGATGGATCCGGCCCACAGGCCTTGAGGTTGACACCCGTGTATTGAAACAATCTTTTTAAAAACAAACCCAACTTGCTCACAGTTGAGATCTTGCACGGATACTAAAGACACGTCCACAAAAAAACGAAGCTGACATTTGCAGCTGGCAGGAAGCCGACAAATAGATTGGCTTCTTCAATCCACTCTGGATCAAAATAGGACATGAGATCACCCATGCTCTGCTCCATACAGTTGATTCTCATGAGGAGACTGCAAAGCAAGAGTATGGAAAGTTTAAGAGAGGAGCAAATTTACCATACTGGTTGCAGCCATAAACAGAGCCTTTGAATTGATGCTAAGAGCTACCCTGTGGTAAGATAAATTTGATAAATAGATAAACAAGTAAAATAAATAAAATTGAAGTTAAGAGATCTTCAATTGACAAGCCTGGGAACGCCAGGCGAGTTCCTTCAATCCTTAAGAAATAAAGATTGCCCTTTTTCCAACTGTTACCAATTTAAAATCAACAGCAAAAAGCAAGACAAGATATTGGCTTCTGAAAGTTTTAAATATATTAAAGGCTCAGAAAATGGTGGAATGTTGGACTCTGGACCTTAAGTTTTTGATTTTTTTTTTTTCAAATGCATTGTTGTGGGAAAGAAAAACTGCTTTTGACACTGGAGACATAACAAAACAACTAACTTATAAGGTGTTCAGAGATATTTTTCACAAACCGCATTGGGACTTTGAATCAATAATGCCAGTTATGTTGTGTCTTCTTGGGAACATTGTGCTCCCAGAAGAAGTTAGAGAAAAAGAGTGTATCTGAAGACAAAATAAACAAGAATTTGAACATGCATTTGCCTATATATATAGTAAAGGTAAAGGTTCCCCTCGCACATATGTGCTAGTCGTTCCAGACTCTAGGGGGTGGTGCTCATCTCTGTTTCAAAGCTGAAGAGCCAGCACTGTCCGAAGATGTCTCCGTGGTCATGTGGCCGACATGACTAAATGCCAAAGGTGCACAGAACGCTGTTACCTTCCCACCAAAGGTGGCCCCTATTTTTCTACTTGCATTTTTTACGTGCTTTCGAACTGCTAGGTTGGCAGAAGCTGGGACAAGTAATGGGAGCTCACCCCGTTACACAGCACTAGGGATTCGAACCACTGAACTGCCGACCTTTCAACCGACAAGCTCAACATCTTAGCCACTGAGCCACCGTGTCCCTCTATATATATGTATGTATGTATCAGGGGTGAAATGGTCCCGGTTCAGACCGGATCACCCGATCCGGTAGCGTTGGTGGCGGGTGGTTCGGAGAACCGGTAGCAAAAGTCCCTGCATATCCCCCCTCCCATGCCCAGCTGAGCCACGCGATCATCAGAGGCTGTTTTTTTAACTTTTAAAAAGCATTTTTTTCTATAAACTCTTCCGCCGAAAAAATGCTTTTAAAAGTTAAAAAAAAAAGCCTCTGATGATCGTGCAGCTCAGCTGGGATCGTCAGAGGCTTTTAAAAGCAGAAGAGGTTGTAGGAAAAAAATGCCTTTAAAAGCCTCTGGCGATCCCAGCTGAGTTGCAGTATATATGTATGTATGTATGTATGTGTTTGTATGTATGCATATGTATATGTGTAAAAGAAAAACCTGGCTGAGGTTTTAAAAAGTAAGAAAGAAGTAAAGATGATAAATCTCATAGAGCAATTCGAAGAATTTCTTTTTGCGTACTTATAAAAAAAAATTATAATAATATGGAGTGTAGCTCAGCTGAATTATCAGTTTCAAATTGGCAAACCCAGCATGTGATGAAGGAGGCACAAACTATCGTAGTTACACAATTGTTCTGGGAAAAGAACAACAACAAACAAAAACCTTCTGAGTTAAGCGGAACGTCCATACTACAGGTGGTCCTTGACTTATGACCGCAATTGAGCTCCAAATTTCTGTCGCTAAGTGAATTTTTCCCCTCCTTTCTTTCCACTGTTAAGTGAATCATTGCGCTTGTTAAGTCGGTAACATGTGAATCTGTTAAGTGAATCTGGTTTCCCCATTGACTTCCCTTGACAGAATATTGTAAAAGGTTGTAAAGATTGACCCCGAGACATGGCAACCGTCATAAATATGAGTCAGTTGCCAAGCGTCTGAATTTTGATCCGGTGACCATTGGGAGGTTGCAATGGTCGTAAGTGTGAAAAACTATCAGAAGTCACTTTCTTCAGTGCCATGCTAACTTTGAATGGTCACTCAATGAAGCATTGTAAGTCGAAGTTGTATTTTCAATTTAAAATGTGAACAATTTTTAATCTGGTGAGAACCTCTTTAATTATACATACATACATACATACATATACATATACATATACATATACATATACATATACATATACATATACATATACATGTGTGTGTGTGTGTGTGTGTGTGTGTGTGTGTGTGGTGTTTTTCTCAGGTTTTCGCGGGTGTTTGTATGTAGGTCTTTGGTTATTCGGGTCTTCTCCCACATAAAATTGGAAGTGTCTTGGTGATGTTTCGACGAAGTCTCATTCGTCATCTTCAGGCTGGTGTTCTCGGCTTCGTGCTTCCAGGAGCAAATATATATATATATATAATCAGTAGTGAAATGTAAAATTTGTTACTACCGGTTCTGTGGGCGTGGCTTGGTGGGGCGGGTAATATGACTGGGTGGGCATGGCCAACTTTTTTTTTTTTTTTTTACTTTTAAAACCATTTTTTCTACAACCTCTTGTAAAAAAGTTGTAATGAAGATGAAGAGGTTGTAAAAAAAATGCTTTAAAAAGCCTCTGACGATCCCAGCTGACTTGCCTGATCAGCAGAGGCTTTTTCTTTTTCTTTTTTTTTTTTAGCCTCTGAAGTTCACAGCTGATTTGCCTGATCGGCAGAGGCTTTTTCTTTTTTTTTTTTTAAGCCTCTGATGATCCCAGCTGAGTTGTCTGATCGGCAGAGGCTTTTTTTTCTTTTAAAAACATTTTTTTCTACAACCTCTTCATCCGAAGAGATTGTAGAAAAAAATGCTTTGAAAAGCCTCTGACGATCCCAGCTGAGCCGCACGATCATCAAAGGCCTTTTTTTTTTTACTTTTAAAAGCATTTTTTTGGCTGAAGAGGTTGTAGAATAAATGCTTTTAAAAATTTTTTAAAAGCCTCTGATGATTGCGCGGCTCAGCTGGGCATGGGGGGGGAGGCAGGAATTTTTGCTATTGGTTCTCCGAACCACCCGCCACCATCACTACCGGCTCGGGTGATCCGGTCCGAACCGATATATATATATATTCTCGACAAATACTTGGAATTCAAATGTGGGAGCGTAAGAAGAATACATTCTTAATAATTGTATTTTCCTTTTGTGCGTAGCATCTGCAAACTGAAGCACTGTGCGATCTTTTCCCATATTTCCTTTAACGCATCTTCATTGTGTTGCTTTGAGAACTGCAATACAATATTCTCTAAAGGCTTCCATATGTTTCAAGTTCTTTTGGAGCCAAAAAATAAGAAGAAAAAAACCCCTCTAGCAACAAGATTTTCATATATTTGCCACAGTGACCCGATATTTCCTTGTATCTTATTTCGGATGGAATAAATCACAGACTACCTAAACTTTCCAGTCTCTGATTGTGTTTCAAAACTTCTTTCAACTGATATTATTTAAAATATTTTTTTAAAAAAAGTCTACTACAGATAACAAGGAACAACCATTTCCATTTAACCACTCCATCTGGACTACTGTAATGTGCTCCACATAGGACTGCCCTTGAAGACTACCTAAACAGACTACCTAAACTTTCCAGTCTCTGATTGTGTTTCAAAACTTATTTCAACCAATATTATTTAAAATATTCTTTTTAAAAAGCCTAGTACAGGTAACAAGGAACAACCATTTAACCACCTCCACCTGGACTACTGTAATGTGCTCCACATAGGGCAGCCCTTGAAGACTATTCAAAAGCTTCAGTGAATTCAGAATTAATTGAAAGAGTTTTGAGGAAGTCTCTATCGGTGTATGTGCCTTCTGTGGGAAAACACAACTGTTAAAAATGTTTTCTTCTTATGCGCCCACATTTGAATACTGGTGTTTTCAAGTGTTTGTCAATTTGCCACAGTCAACTCACCATAGTCAACTTGCCACAGTCATGGTCAACTTGCCATGGTCAACTCATTATGGCCAATTTACTACAGGACAACCAAGAGTTACACGGATATCAAAGAAATGGTAGATTAGAATCGTTAAAGAAAAGATACAAAAGGAGGGACAGAATAAAATGTGAATGGCAAAAATTAAAACGATTTTTTTAAATTTATTTTAAATAATTAAATTGAATTGTTAAATTGTCCTGCAACAAGTTCTTCCTTGGCGAGTTGGCCAGGGTAACTTGGCTGTGGAGAATTGTCCCATAAATAAATAAATAAATAAATAAATAAATAAATAAATAAATAAATAAATAAATAAATAAATAAATAAATAAGCAAGCCGTGGTGGTGCAGTGGTTTGAATGCGGTATTGCAGGCTAACTCACTGCTTACTATCAGGAGTTTGATTCTGACTGGCTCAAGGTTGCCCCAGCCTTCCATCCTTCTGAGGTGTGTAAAGTAAAGACCCAGATTGTTGTGGCCGATATGCTAATTCTGTAAACTGCTTAGAGAGGGCTGTGAAGCGATATATAAGTCTAAGTGCTATTGCTGAATGAATGAATGAATGAATGAATGAATGAATGAATGAATTCTGAACAGCCCTGTTTTTGCCTTTAATACAATATTTTGTTTCCAATATTTTGCGCCAGTTAGTAAGTAGAATGCAAAACTCCCATGTTGTGAAGCATAATATTTCATGCTCGGCTTTGCTTTCTTCTACAACCTCCTCAGAACAGAATTCTGCACAGGAAGATGATAAGAGAAGACTGGAAGGTACCAAGTGCTTCAAAGGAGATGGCATTGCCTCTTTCCTTCCATTTGTTTGCTGCTTGCTTGCTTACACGTATTTGTATGGATCATCTACACTACAAGTTCTGGATAGCTCACACCCATAAAATAATAAATACCCACTAAATAAATGTGTCCTTTTTATGATCTTTCCTAAAACAATACATCTGAGCAAGGGCTGCACTTCTTGCTGGTTCTGTGCAATAAATAAAATCTGTGAGGCAATAATTAGTTTAAACCTGTGGCAACCAACGGGTGGTCCGCAGAAAATTTTTTGGTGGTCTGCAGAAAAATAATTTGCATTTTTTTATATTGCACTAAATCAGGGGTCCTGAAACTATGGTCCCTGGGCCGGATACGTGCAATGAATGTTTCTGTTGCTGCAGAGAGTCTCACCCTTTGGGGTCTTTTTGTGTGGGGCAGAGGGGAGCAGAAATTCCGACTTGGGGTCTGCTTCAGCCTCCTGGTGCGGGGCTTTGGCCGAAGGCTGGAGGGAAAGGCTGCTGGTGGCGAAGAGCCAGAGGGCCTTGTTCCAGTGGGACTGCATCATGGCCTGGAACTGGCTAACCATCTCAGCCCGCTGAGCCTCCAGGCACCAGTACCTGGCCTTGTAATCCCACAGGTCTTCCCTCTGCTTGGAAAGCCTATGCTTGTAGTCCTCAGTGAGGTGCTTCTGCTGAGCCACCTCCTCAGTCAGATCCAATTTGACCTGAGCCAGCTGTTTTGCCAACCCTTTCTCATGGTGGCTGCTTAGCTCCAACAACTGCTTCCTGTTGGGGCCCTAAGGAGCCCAGCCAGGCAGGCGAGGAGTGGCTGGGAGGGGAGGGGCAAGTAGAGGCTGTTGAGGTGCCCCTTGACGTGAGTGACATTGAGTTGACCACACCCACCCAATCACATGACCACCTAGCCATGCCCACCCAGCCGGTCATTAGGCAGATCATATTAGTGGTCCACGGGATTTAAAATTATGAATTTAGTGGTCCCTGAGGTTCGAAACATTGGGAACCCCTGGTTTAAACAACGAGCTTGCTTCTCCCAGTAAGACCTAATGGTGCATACCTCTCCTACAGGAAGTAGAATAGGCTTAGGTTTGTGGCATTCTATCGATTCATTGGATGGTTGAACAAGGAAAGCATCACGGATAAAATCCCAGAATGGATGGCCTTCAGTGGTGCCTGTTTTTTTAAAAAAGCATGTAATAGTAGAATGTTTTCCATCATGTTAAAATACATTATTGAATTAATATAAAATATTTAAGAACATCTCATTGCATTCTAGTAAATATCATTAAAAAAGAACCAGTTTGGTGCAGGAGTTATAAAAAAAAAAGGAAGGAAGCTGGGAATCTATGAGTTGTAGACCTGCCATAGGATGAGTTTGGGCCAGTCCTCTCTCCCCTCCCTAAGAAGAAGAAGATGGGAAACCACTTCTGAAAATGTAGATTTAAAAAAACCCACAGGAATTTGTCCATGTAGTTGCCAGAAACCAAAACTAACTTAAAAGTTTGCGTGCTTTTATTTTGTTTTGGGGAAAAAAACCCCAGTATAATGTATACAACCTATAACTATCAAAAGGCATTTAACAGATTTCTAATTTCCTTTCGCCTTTTGACAAACAAACAAGAAACTCATCTAAAAATGTTTACAAATATAAACCATTTGTTTTGACTGATAGTGAGGACTAATTGTAAAGTTAAGGATGACTGATATTTACAGCAATCTAATTTTTTAACAGAAGTTGCAGATGTGAGAAAGATTGTTGGGAGCTTAGGAAAGAAACAAAAAATGGAATAGATTTCCAATCAACAGATAATGGGCAAGACACTTGGCAGTTTATCTCATCAACCTATCCCAGCAAGCAAGAAATCTGGGGGTAAAGTGCTACAGATCATTCAAAAATACTTAATCACCTCCTTATGAACGAGGATTGGAAATTCCTCTTATAATTTCTAAGAATTTTTAATGATGCCCAGATTAGCATTAAATATGCTTTATTGTAATCTGTATAGGTTTTGCTATCTTGATCTTCCCTAGTTCAACAAGGCTTGGCCTGATAATTAATTAATGAAATACTCAGGTAACTAATTAAATAACCTTCAGTGCAGAAATACAATGTAGGTAGTACTAACATTCAGATAACTGGAACATGATTTGTTTTCAGTAACTTCGCTGATACTCCAAACCCATGGGCTGCTATGCCATTTTATAAGAATGGACTATTAATACATTAATATTAATAATAATTAATATTATGTATTAACTACATCTTTAAATCATGTATTCACGGATTATTTTATCTCAGTTCATTTTGTTTTGTTGATGACATTCTTGTGTCCTTTGCACTGTGGTGATAGAAAGCTTGGAAACTACCCTACTGAACAGTGTTTTATTGCCTGGTGAAACTAGAGAAAGAAAGCAGCAGGTTTTGTTCTACCTAGAAGTAAATTGGATGATGCTACTGATAAATTAGGAAGAACCCCTTCTGAGCCTCATCTTTGCCCACATTGCCCTCTCTTATCTGAGTCTTCCCCAAGCAGCATCTATTAGTCTTGTATCCCAAGGTCTTTCCCCACATACCATTACAGGGACAAAAATCCACGATGTAAAACTTCTAGAACAAAACTATTTTAAATATTTGAATACAAGTTCACAAGTTTTTCAAAATCTATTTCTTCATATTGCAGGGTCAAGGCAGAATGCACACTTTTAAAAAAAAATATATTATTAGATTTACCTTTATTTTTCGGTCAACTCAAGGCAGTGTACATACCTAATGCTCTTATTTTCCCCACAATAACAACCTTGTGAGATGCATTGAGCTTAAAGAGTGTAACTGGTCCAAAGTCAATCTTGGTTTTGGGAGGCCTACAACTCACAGTCTCATTTTTAGCCCAGCACCGTAGCCATTTCCCCAAACTGGCTCTCCAAATTTGTCTTCCAGACTCAGATGCTTTGCAGAATATGGTGGCTGGGAATTTGAGAATCTGTAGTGCAGGGGTGAAATGCTCCCTGTTCAGACCAGATCAGGCGATCTGGTAGCGATTGTGGCAGGTGGTTCGGAGAACCAGTAGCAATGGCGGCATAAGGCTCCACCCATCTTCCCGGGTGTTGTTACTTTCTGCTTTTAAAAAGTAAAAAAAAAAGGCTCTGATGATCACAACTGTAGTGTGTGATCATCAGAGCCTTTTCTTTACCTTAAAAGCATTTTTTACAACCTATTCGCCTGGATTTAATTCTGTTTTAAACGTATTTTAATTGTTTATATTGTATGTTTTTTAATTTTGGCTGTTCACCGCCCCGAGTCCTTCGGGAGAGGGGGCGGTATAAAAATCTAATTAATAAATAAATAAACAAATAAATAAATAAATAAATAAATAAATAAATAAATAAATGCTTTAAAAAAGTTTATTTAAAAAGTTAGCCATGCCCACCCAGTCACATTACACCCCCACACACACACAAAGCCACGCCCACAGAACCAGTAGTAACAAATTTTACATTTCATCTCTGCTGCAGTCCCATCACATATGCAGACGAGTAGCTTGGGGAATGCTGTGTAACAGAAAGAGTAACAGTAATAGTAATGTCAATATTTCTTTCTACTTGCCTTGAGTAAAATTGAACATTCCTGGTCCATCTATGGTACCTGCAGCAAAGCTGTATCCCAAGGCTGGTTTACATGTTTTACCCTTTGGAAAAAAACAATGTAAAGAGTTACGGTCTGCATTGTAAATACTTCTATATTGTTACCATCTGCCTGGAACATCACCATGGAGATACACTACCGTGTGTGTAGAGTTAAGTTGAACAGTGATGTTACTCATGTCCACCCATTGATGAACTGAACTGATGGGCCCATCAAGCTCTTTTGAGGCCTTCATATATATTTCCTGAAATACAAATGAGAACCAATCATCACTCGAATCTGGTGATAATTTTATTACTGTACGTGAGCACATATATATTGTTTAAGTGTGGATCTGTATGTGTGAATATGTGATAAGGAATTTCTGGACTTCTGAACTGCAACTCCCAGGGAACCTCATACAAGCGGAAGCTACTATGATTTGCAGTTCAACAATGGGCATCATTTCTTCAACAAATCTAGCAGGCAGGAGAGACATGAAATACCCACAACCAAACTCTTACCCTGACAGAAGAGTAAAACTCTTCCTCACAGGAGAAGTATTTATTTATTTATTATTTATTTATTTATTTTATTCAATTTATATACCGCCCTACTCCCGAAGGACTCAGGGCGGTGAACAGCCACAAAATAAAATACATCATACAAAAGTTAAAAACCATTTAAAAATACATTAAATAATCTAGGCCCAAGACAAATTTAAAACACCCAATTTGTATAAAACTTAAAAAACAAATTTAAAAGGGAGAGTCAAGCCAGACCAGCCTGCTGGAATAAAAATGTTTTGAGGGCGCGGCGGAAAGTGCATAAATCTGGGATCCTCCGTATCTCCAGGGGGAGCTCGTTCCAGATAGCCGGTGCCCCCACAGAGAAGGCTCACTCCCTGGGGGCCGCCAGTCCACATTGTTTGGCCGACGGCACCCTGAGGAGCCCCTCTCTATGGGAGTGTACTGGTCGGTGAGAGGCTACTGGTGGCAGAAGGCGGTCTCATAAGTACCCTGGTCCTAAGCCATGGAGCGCTCTAAAGGTGGTAACCAAAACCTTGAAGCGTACTCGGAAGACCACCGGGAGCCAGTGCAGCTCGCGCAGGAGGGGGGTCACATGGGAACGCCACGTCGCTCCCATAACCACCTGCGCGGCCGCATTCTGGACCAGCTGGAGCCTCCGGGTGTTCCTCAAGGGGAGCCCCATGTAGAGAGCATTACAGTAGTCCAGGCGTGAGGTGACAAGGGCGTGAGTGACCGTATGTAACGAGTCCCGATCCAGATGCAACTGGCTAATCAGGTGAACCTGATAAAAAGTCCTCCCAGCCACAGCCATCAAATGCTCTTCTAAAGACAGCCGTGAGTCCAGGAGGATGCCCAAGTTGCGAGCCCTATCCATGGGGGCCAACGACTCGCCTCCAATAGTCAGTGATGGCACCAACTGACTATATCGGGATGTCGGAAATCACAGCCACTTGGTCTTGGATGGGTTGAGTCTGAGTCTGTTTCTCCCCATCCAGATCCGCACGGCCTCCAGGCACTGGGACATCACTTCGAGGGCATCATTGGGGTGATCCGGGGTGGAGATGTACAGCTGAGTGTCATCAGCGTACTGGTGGTACTTCACCCCGAAACCATGGATGATCTCGCCCAGCGGCTTCACATAAATGTTGAACAGAAGGGGCGAGAGGACCGATCCTTGTGGCACCCCACATACAAGGGGCCTCGGGGTCAACCTCTGCCCCCCTGTCAACACAGACTGCAACTGGTCGGAGAGAAAGGAGGAGAACCACCGCAACATGGTGCCTCCCACCCCCACCCCTTCCAACCGGTGCAGCATGATACCATGGTCGATGGTATCAAAAGCCGCTGAGAGGTCTAACAGGACTAGGACAGAGGAGCAACCCCTGTCCCGAGCCCTCCAGAGATCATCAACCAATGCGACCAATGCCGTCTCCGTGCTGTACCCAGGCCTGCAGCCCGACTGGAATGTATCTAGATAAGCCGATTCATCCAGGTACTGAGGCAACTGTCGTGCAACCACACTCTCAACAACCTTCACAACAAAGCGAAGGTTGGAGACTGGACGATAATTTGCCAACACTGCTGGGTCCAGGGAAGGCTTCTTGAGGAGAGGCCTCACCACCGCCTCTTTCAAGGTGGTGAGGAAGACACCCTCACTCAAAGAAGCATTTATAATCCCCTGGAGCCAGCCTCGTGTAACCTCCCGAGAGGCCAGCACCAACCAGGAGGGACACGGGTCCAATACACATGTGGATGCACTCAGTCTACAAAGGCACAACCCGGTCCAAAGCTCCAGTGGCCGCCCTATCCCAGGCGGCCACTAAGTCTTCAGCCGAGCCGTGTGCCAGAGCCTCAGGAAGTGGCCTAAGCTCCGTCTGGAACCTGTCAGGGTCCATCAGGCACCTGGGGCGGAACCACCTCGTCGGTTCCGCCTCCCTGCAGTGGGGTGTGGTGGTTCGAAGGTCTAAGTGAAGGAGGGAGTGATCTGACCATGACAAGGGTTCAATCGCTATATCCCCTATCTCAAGATCACTCAACCACTGGCCAGAGACAAAAACCAGGTCCAGCGTGTGTCCCCCCATGTGAGTAGGGCCATAAATTAGCTGGGTCAGGTCCATGGCCATCATGGAAGCCATGAACTCCCGGGCCGCCTCGGACATCTGGCCGACTGATGGCAGGTTAAAATCTCCCATGACCATAAGCCTGGGGGTATCAACCGCCACCACGGCTATAACGTCGAGCAGCTCGGGCAGGGCCACTGCCATGTGGCAGGGAGCCAGGTACTTGACTAGCAAGCCCATCTGCACCCTATGACCCCACTTCACAAGGAGGGACTCACATCCGGCCGTCTGAGGAACAGTGGCCTCCCTCAGACCAAGATCCTCGTTGATAACAACCGCCACCACCCCCGCCCCTCCCCTGTGACCTTGGTTGATGGAATGCACGAAAACCGGGTGGGCACATATCAACAAGGGGGACTCCCCCCTCCTGGCCCAACCAGATCTCCGTAATATCCGCCAGGTCCGCGCCCCCCTCCTGAATAAGCTCGCAAATGAGGGAAGCTTTATTTACCACGGACCTGCATTGCACAGCATCAGCCGAAGGCCCAGGGCCTGAGGTTCCATACAACCAGGGGAACGAGAAGAGTTTTGAGGGTCGGAGCGAGCCACTGCTTGCAAACAGCGAGCACGCACTCCCACAACATGATGTGGCCTCCTACTCCCGCCATAGCTTTGGTTTTTCCCCAATATAACTCATACACCCATGATTTCTTACTACCATGTTTCCATGAAAATAAGACCCTGTCTTATATTTTTTTGAACCCTGAAATAAGAGCTTGGCCTTGTTTTTAAGGAGGTCTTATTATTTTGGGGCCTGTGGAGCAATACGGGGCTCCTCTTGCCATTTTACCTGATTTCCAGCTCTGTCTCCCTAACCCTAACCAGAGGAAATGGTGGGGACCAGCTGCGCATGCATTTAAATATTTTCAGGAAGGGCTTATTTTCGGGGAGGGCTTTTTTTTCAAGGGGGCTTATTTTAGCCCATGCGCTCAAAAGCCCGACTGGGCTTATTATCCGGGGAGGTCTTATTTTCGGGGAAATAGGGTAGTTAGGAAGTAAGAACTCTAAGCATATAAGATAAGGTTAGAAAATAGCTATGACAGGTGTCAACTTCCTCCTATCCTGGAAGGGTAATTTAGTTGGAGGTATGGGAGTTGTAGTAGTAACGGAATAATAGTTTGTACCCTTCCTGAATCCTACAATCCATTTGAACAAAATTTAGGTCCAAGGCTTCATAGGAAACAGATGCAAAGTTAAGATAGCTTTTCCCAGGTCTGTCAAATGCCATACAGCAATAAAATTTTACATTGAACATGATGTTATCTATCTATCTATCTATCTATCATCTATCTATCTATCTATCATCTATCAATCATATTTGCATATCTGTATACATTGTATCATTGCTAAATAAAGTTTTTTTAACAGAAAAATATTCTAGTTAAAAGGAAAGTTGGCATATTATTAGAAAAGTGACAACCTCTATCATCTATATTTACCTAGAATGTTAAGATTCTAGCATATTTTCTACAGTATATTTTCCTAGAATGCTCTCCTAGAAAATATAGAGGCTAGCACTTAACAACAACGTTTTTCTAAAATGTTATGATTTTAGACATACCTTTGCTTTTGAGTAGACGTGTGTCCCAATTATTTGTGTGCTCTGAAACATGTCTTTCCCAGGACCTGTAGCAATGCAGAACTTAGCCTAAATTGGATTTCAGAACAACAAATTAGAAGGGAAAAGATATGTGGCTGATCAGCCTTCAATTCTAAATTCCAATTATAAACCCCTTTCAATTTCCCTTTAACTTGCCACTAATCAAGCAGCAGATCAGAGCCAGTTATGGTTAAGGCACCAGGTCAGAGACTACAGGTAGGCATCCATGAATTCTAGTTCTGATTTAGGCATAAAGCCATTTGGTCCAGTCACTTTCTCTCAGCCCTAGGAAGGAGGCAATGGCAAACCTCTTCTGAAAAAATTGTCAAAAAAGGATCACCTGAGTGGTGCAAATGGATGTGGAGCCTTCTTAGGATTGTTGAAAGGATTGTGTTATAGACTGAGATAGATGACATTGTATCTCTTCCCCTCTGATGAAAGAGGGCTGTTCAATTTTGACATAGATGGCCTGTTTTACCCCTCTTTCAAACCAGCGGTCCTCTCTCTCCAAAATGTGGACTTGAACGAATACATACTATTATCCAACAGTCAGTGGGTTATGATGTAACCAAATGCACAATGGAATGATTATATTCAATATTTATCAGTGGGAACTTAGACCATCTTGAGCATTTTGAACAGTAATCTATGAGGTAAATTATCCTGAAATCAAAACAATTAGTTGCTCTCTTTGAAAGACAGTCTTACTGGAGTTGAATTTATAAGGTTCTTGCTAGTTTCCTCCTGAGTACCTCTGGTATGTAAGAGGGAGTTATATGAAACCTCATATAATTTCAACCACAAAATGCACAAACATTTGATCCAGATCTAATACTTACCCCACCTATAAGGCAGTAATTCCCCATGTTTTCACATGGCTCTCCAGTGTTGATGCAGTGTGGGCCCTTTGTATTCGGAGACACATCACCCAAGTTAGACGATGTAAAAGCTGCTACAAAGGGACCCTGAAAGAGGAAGAAAGTCATATCAGTGACTCCCATTGATCCCACAACATTTATAGCTCAGAATCATCAGCATTTGATGGAGGTGGGAGTATTAAAATTGCAAGATGGCAAGGTGAAAAGAAAGAAGCCCTACTCTTTATAAATGCATATAGGGTCGATGTATGTAGAAAAATTGTTGGGATTGGCCTGTAACACCAGTGGTGAGTTTCTACTGGTTCGGCCCGGTTCGGGAAAACCAGTAGTAATGGCAGTGGGAGGCTCCACCCACCCACCGGGACGTCATCACAGACACTCTGCGCATGGAACCTACTACTGTATAACACCACACCTATCTTTGTGTGAATATTGATACAAATACATGGTAACCTGCAGACATTGCCACAAAAAAACATCCTCAAGTCTCAAGTAAGAAATTTGTGTATTATTCTTGGTAGCATATATGATTTACAAAAACATATATGATTTACAACCATTTGTTTAGTGATTGAAGTTACAACAGCACCGAAAAAAATGACTTATATCTGTTTTTCACACTTACAACTGTTGCAGCGGTTTTGATCACGTGATCAAAATTGGGCTGCTTGACAATTGGTTCATATTTATGGCGATTGCAGTGTCCTGGGGTCATGTGATCAGCTTTTGTGACCTTCTGACAAGCAAAGTCAATGGAGAAGTCATTTTCGCTTAACAATTCGCTTAAGGTGTTGCTAACTTAACAACTGCAGTGATTCACTTAACAGTTGAGGCAAGAAAGGTCGTAAAAAACCAACCATCTCACTTAGCAACAAAAATGTTGAGCTCAATTATGGTTGTAAGTCAAGGAGTACGCTTCCCTTATGAGACTAGACTAAAACAGTATAACAATATTTGAGGAAATTTGATCAAACAGATACTTATCAAAATGACTTAATGAGACCTGACATTTACTGCAATGTTTTCATTGCCTGCCACATTCAAATAATATTCTGTGCTTTTAGATTTTGTGAGTAGTCACATGGAAATCAAAGTTTGCTTTCTTGTATTTATTTCATTTCACTTGTACTGCCATGCTTTGTTGTTGTGGTTCGTTGCACAGTCAGCCAGATGTTCAGACTGGATTTGGCATTTTTATTCACTTATTTAGTCCTTTCCAAGGTATCTGGGATATAATTATTATTTATGTATAAAGTCTGGGTGGCTTACAAAATCCAAAAACAATTAAAAAAAACAGTTAATAACATACAATCCCACAGGAAACCCAGACCAAAGCAATCAAACAATAACAAATCAATCCACACCAAAGGACCAATAAGCACATCACCCACAGGTCTGGGAATAGAACCAAATGTTAAGGCTTTCTAGAACTCCAGAAGAGTGAGCTACTGTCCCACATTTCTCCTGCCAACTGAAGAAAGGAACGCACTTCTCCAATTTAGGCTCCTCACCTTAACCTCCTCACCTGTACTGTGAGTATAATCTCCAAATTTCTTAGTCAATAGAACCTGGAATTCTAGGAATTGAATTTGCAATGCTTCCAGAGAGTAATATAGTTGAACTTTAGATTGATAAAACCTAAAGTACTAAAGTATCTTGGACAGGGTTTAAAACCTAATGGGGAATAACCATTTGGGGCTATTATTCCATGTATTGCATGGGAAAGGTCCCAGATGCAAATCCCAAGATCTTCACATAGAAATATAACATTTCCTGTATAAAACTGTGGGTAGCTGTCAGTCACTGCCAACCACATGGAGCTATTTGAACTACTAGCTACATTCAATAGAAGGGCTGACCCAATTTACTAGTGTCAGTACAAGGAGCCTGAGTGGCGTAGGAGGCTAATGCCTCCTACTAAGGCAGCATTTAACATCCAGCTGCCTGCAATTACTGCGAGTTCAATTCTCACCAGGCTCAAGGTCAACTCAGCCTTCCATCCTTTCTAAGGTGGATAAAATGAGGACCCGGTTTGTGGGGGCAATAAGCTGACTTTGTATAAAATATACAAAAGTATGAAGGCTATTGCTTAACGCATTGTAAGCCGCCCTGAGTCTCCGGAGAAGGGCGGCATATAAAAATAAATTTTAAATATTTTTTTTTAAAAAACTATGTTATATACAATGATGCACATTAATTGTTTTTACCTTTCCTGGAAGATATCCTTTATTCTTCTCTTGTTCAAAGAGATAAGCTGCATAGCCAATATTGTCACTATTAACTAAAACGTTGGTGTTATTCATACTGACAGGATGAACAGCAAACCAGCTAGTAAAAAAATTAAAAAGGGAAAGTTAAGAAAGTAACTGTTGGGAAAATATTTATTTACTTACTTACTTACTTACTTACTTACTTACTTACTTACTTACTTACTTGTATGCCATCTATTCCCAAAGGAAATAGGCAGCTAAAAATATGATTTAACACTTCCTATCCCAAAATCCTGTCTATCACTAATCCATTTATTTTTATTTATTATTAAATATATTTGCCGCACATCTTGCAGTGACTCTGAGCAGCTTACAATGTGATAAAATATGCAAATATCCAAACTATAAATATATGAACAGGTTAAAATTACAATAAATTCAAAAGCCTGGGTTTGGAGTGGAGAGATGCGGATGGGGCCTTCTGTATTACTGCACCGACCACCTCCAGCCAACAGCTTCTCCTTCAGGACTTCAAGCCAATTGACATAGCCAGGTTTTAAGGCTTTTCCTGAATGTTAAAAGAGATGTGGCAGATCTCAACTCCTGTGATGAGTAAATTTGCCATGCATGCCACATGTCCCACCTGTATAATGTAAAGCATTCTTCTGCACTTTTCTGTGCAGACCAGAAGAGAATATATTTATAAATTAAATACATTCCAGAAATTTATTTTTTTGAAATACAGGAGGGATGAAGTGGAATGAAACTTTACTGGGAGGGAGTTCCAGGCAATGGAGCTGTGATGGAAATGCCTGTCTCTGAGGCACTCTCCAATAATAATCCTGCAGGGTTGGGACCTGGAAATCATTGACTCATTGGATTGACATCTGATTGGATGGATAGAGGAATGCCAAAGGAAATGGTTTCTTAGATACCTTAGATAAAAGTCCTATTGGACTTTAAAAATGACAACCAAAAGATCTCATCCAGACCATTGGCAAACAATGGCACTCCTGCAGCAGAAAGATCACTCAAATATATTTGAGCATATCCATCACTGCCTGAGCTACAGGATTTTGCACCAGCTGCAGCTTCCAGAATGTTCTTCAAGGAAAACTCTATTTAGAATACATTATAATAATCCAACTGGAAGGTGATTAGGGCATGAAAGCTTTCAGATTCAGCTATCCTTACTCTTTTTTGGGGGGAAAAACATTAAGCAACATATTAATGCTAAAAGAAACCCAAGCTTAATATAACCCTTTCGACATTTTGTGGGAACATTTTTTTTTATTTTTAAACAAAAAAACAATAACCACTCTTTTAAATCTCTGTTCTTGAAAGGGAAGCATGCTAGCATGCAGACTGCTAGTAAGCAGTCAATGATTAATAACAGCAAGAATACATGTTTAACGTCACTTCCAGTAAGTTATACTTCCAAAACAATGGGGGTATGGTCTTACTTTACTTCCTTTGTTCTTCATCACACAAGTCAGCTTCTCTCAACTTTTTTTCCTTACCCACCTTCAACTTCACTAACTCATCAGACAACGTATGAAAGAAGACAAAGGGGATGAACTTGAAAAAAGAAGACCAAGGTTCAAGACAACCTTTGGCCATTCAAGCTCACCTGTATGTTTGAACCAGTCATTCTTGCTGCCTTATCCCAACCCACCTTACTATCCCAGCCTTTATGAACTGTTATATATGTAGGCTGTAAGCCCTGCTGGGAATAAAATGAACCAATACAGTCTGCCTGAGTTGACTTGCTTCTTGTTTTCAACTTCTCACCTAAACATTCCAATCTCTTGGCCATTATCTGCAACCATTTTCAGCACCGTCATTTCTTTGTCTACGTTTGATGAATACCTGGAAAACAGGGAGGAAGTTGGGGGAGGGAGGAGAAAAGAGAGACTTTCACAGCAACTAGACTAGAGCTTCTCAATCTTAACAAAGATTTGTGGACTTCAATTCCCAGAATTCCTCACCAGCTTGAAGAATTCAACATTCTCAGCATTCAGCATTCTGAGCAGTCAAAATTCATTCTCAGCATTATCAACATCCTTAGCAACATCAACATTAATGTTTCTTGGACATTCACATCAGAGGTGGGTTTCAGCAGGTTCTGACCAGTTCTGAAGAACCGGTAGCAGAAATTTTGAGTAGTTCGGAGAACCAGTAGTAAAAATTCTGACTGGCTCCGTCTCCATCTATTCTCTGCCTCCCAAGTCCCAGTTTATCAGGAGGAAATGGGGATTTTGCAGTATCCTTCCCCTGCCATGCCCACCAAGTCACACCCACCAAGCCATGCCACGCCCACCAAGCCATGCCCACAGAACCGGTAGTAAAAAAACCCCACCACTGATTCACTGATTCACATATGTACCACTTTTACCTATATTCACACTCCTAATGTCATGGAGGTTTTACTATAGATAGACTTTGTCAAGTATGTGCCAATTTCCATTTTTATGTTGATTCTGGTTGTTCGTTTAACGATCCATGTTGCTTTACCATTATAATTTATAATTTCAATCATGTCATTATTATACCATGGATGTTCTGTTGTCTGTAAACTGCTGAATAACGTAAGTTCCAGGTGGTCTAAAATGAATGAATAAATGAATGGCTGAGGAAGGAGTCTGTCTCTTGAACCTTCCAGCATTGCCATTCCTATGATCAACAGTTGATAGTGGCCTTCCCTCATCAAAGAAATGGAAGAAGGAGGGGAAAAAATAATACCCTCTAAATATATTTTCCTCTCCTTCTGGGCATTTTGGAAAGAGAACAAAACAGTAATTCATTATACAGTATTTCAGATAGGGCTGCTATACATTACCTATAGGATTCTGTTTTTTTATCGAGCAAGTTCTAAACAAACAAACAGATAATTGTTCAGAGCATTTATCAACCATGATAAATTTAAGCTCTGTGGACTTCAGTTGTCAAATTCCCCAGTCAATATGTTGGAGAGAATTGTGGCAGCTGAAATCCAAACAGCTTAAAGTTACTAAAATTGAGAAACGCTCCCTTTGAGCAAGCAAATCTTAATCCAGGGTTGCGTAGATGTAAATACTATGTCTTAGCTAAATTATAAGATTCACAATACATCCATTACAATAAATGAAAATGCCTCAAGATTTTCCTTCATTTACCGGCGTCTTTCAGAAACTGGATTCTGAAGGTAAGAAAGAGGACTTCGGTTGATCTGACTGTTCTCTACCAAACCTGTACCGATAAAAATGTGTCCTTGCACCATATTCTGATGGGCCATGTCAATACTCTGAAAATTAGAAAACAGGGATTAAAAACATGGAAACTGAGACATTTTGATTTGCATCCAGCTTTTCAGCACAAGACTAGTTACATAACAGAAAAATCAACCTTGCGGTCCCAGAAGATCTCAAAGATATTATCATGGAATAGAGCTATTATATAGCTGGTGGATGCTCTCTGGAGGACTCGGGACAGGGGTCATTCCTCAGTTCTGGTCCTATTAGATCTCTCGGCGGCTTTTGATACCATCAACCATGGTATCATGCTGCAACGCCTTGAGGGGTTGGGAGTGGGTGGCACCGTTTTACGGTGGTTCGCCTCTTACCTCTCGGGTTGTACGCAAGCGGTGTTGGCAGGAGGGCAGAGGTTGGCCATGAGTGCCCCAGTGGTCGGTCCTCTTGCCCTTTCTGTTCAACATTTACATGAAGCTGCTGGGAGAGATCATCTGTGGTTTTGGGCTGGGGTATCATCAGTACGCTGATGATACCCAGCTTTTTATATCCACCAGCCCAGTGATGCCCTCGACGTGATGTCCCGGTGCCTGGAAGTGGTACAGATCTGGATGGGGAGTAACAGGCTTCGACTCAACCCGGCCAAGACCGAATGGCTGTGGATACCGGCATCTCGGGCCAAGCAAGAAGTTCCAACGCTGTCTATTGGGGGCGAGGTGTTGCCTCCCGTAGACAGGGCGCGCAACTTGGGCATCCTCTTGGATTCACGGCTGAGTTTGGAGGTCATATCACGGCCGTGACCAGGGGGGCGTTTGCCCAGGTTCGCCCGGATTGACTACTGCAATGCTCTCTATCTGGGGCTGCCCGTGAAGACCACCCGGAGGCTTCAGCTGGTACAGAATGCGGCCGCGTGGGTTGTTGCAGGTGGGACCCGATACTCCCATATTACACCTCTCCTGCGCGGCTTGCATTCGTTGCCGGTTGCCCTCCGGATGAGATTCAAGGTGCTGGTGTTAACCTATAAAGCCCTTCATGGCTTAGGCCCAGGCTATTTGTCGAACCACCTGCAACCAGCGTCAACTTCCCATCACCCAGTGAGCTCTCACAGAGAGGGTCTACTCAGGGTGTCATTGGCTAGACAATGTCGGCTGGCGACCCCCAGGGCTAGAGATTTTTCTGTGAGCGCCCCCACTCTTTGGAATCAACTTCCCTTGGGGCTCCGGTTGGCCCCTGACCTTCGCACCTTCCGCCGTGAATTGAAAACCTGGCTATTTATGTCCCCCAGCCTGGACAGATGGGGTAGTATATTTTAAAATTTTTAAAACTTTTCATATTTTTGTGTATATTTGTTGATTTTAACAGTTGCTTGGTTGATTGTTGTTGTGAGCCACCCTGAGTCCTTGGAGATAGGGCGGCATACAAATTTTATAAATAAATAAAATAAAATAAATATAAGAAAAGTAGCTGGGAGAATGCATGGGATAATTTTATTCCTGGATGGCCCTCATGTACCAGCCTTCCTTCCAAAGGCAAGAGTGGTTGCTTGAACACAGATGTTTTGTAACATAGAATTGGAATCATGGACTGAACATTAAATAATATGAGAAATAAATAAAATGATATTTCAAAGAAATGCGCAGAGATAGGCTGCATCCTATCCCAGAAATAAATGTAAACACATCCTAATATGCCACTAGATAGATCAGGACCAGGTATCATCAGCCTGCAATTGAATATTAACATCACAATCCCATGTGTATTTAACACAAAAACCATTACAGGGCAGCAAGTAACACCAGAACCACACAACTCAGAGTCATGTCCCAGGAAGCCACAACTGCTTAAGCCCCATTCTAGTTACCCTCACTATCCCACAATCTGAGACCTCTGTAGCAGTGGTGAAATTCAGCTGGTTCTATCCGGATCGTGCGATCCAGTAACGCCAGTGGTGGGAGGCTCCACTCACTCACCCGGATGTCATCACGTCCCGTTTTTAACCCTCTGCACATGCGCAGAAGGCTCTGCACATGCATGGAGGAGGCGCGCGTGCTCACATTTGTGAACCAGTAGCAAAGGTAAGTGAATACCATCCCTGCTCTGCGGCCTTGCGCTCCACTGCCCCAGCCTATCTTTGTTGCTGTCTTCTTGCTCCCACTGCTAAGGAGACATGCCTGGCCTCGCTGGCACCCAGGGCTCGCTTTATGCATTGCAAAGATTTTTAGAAAACACAATAGCACTTAGACTTATATACCGCTTCATAATGCTTTACAGCCCTCTCTAAGCGTTTTACAGAATCAGAATATTGCCCCCAACAATCTGGCTCCTCATTTTAGCCCACCTTGGAAGGATGACCCAGTGAGACTTGAACTGCTGGCAGTTGGCAGTCAGCAAATTAGCTTGCCACACTGCATTTTTTTTTTAATTGAAAAAGTTTTCAAATACAAATTTTTCCCCCTTTTTTTCCCCCCTCTCCCTCCCCCTCCCTAACCCCCCCTCCCCACCCATCCCCCCCTGTGACTTCTTCATAACAAAAAAAAAAACCTAATTCATAACAGATTACTTACTCCCTCCTCTAGATATTGACCTTTACTTACTAAAAATATTATTAATATTATAACATCCTCCTTTATCCATACATATCAAAAAAGAGAAAAGAAAGGGGAAAAAAAAGACATTATACTATGACATTATAAAATAACTTCTCCACTTTAAAACTATACGATAAGTCCTACTTTAACATTTAATCTTCTATATATATTACTATAACATTCCAAAGCGGCCTTCCCCATAAAATCTAGTTTAACATTTATTCCACTCTATCCATTTCCTCCACTCCCCTAAATATAACACTTAAAAATCCCTTTTCTTAGACTAATCAATCTACTAAATAGCTTATTCACCCACTATCATGCAAAGTTGCCATACACAACATTTCTTAACATCTTTGATTCACTGCCCACACTTCTTAAAAATATGTGTCTATATTTTCCATTATATCTAAATAAAAAAAAAGAAAAGACAATGACTTTAAATTTATAATCCATATAGTATCTTCTTTGAGGTCTTTCCACTGGATTGGTAGAACCAACATCCATAATCGGGTAACATAGCTTACTGGTGCAACAGTTTATTCAGGATCTTCAATCATATCTGCCCCCATCAGTAGTAAATATCTTCTTATATGTATAAAAGTAAAAACAACCACCCGAGTGACATTATAATTATATTCCATATAGTAATAATGCCACACTGCATTTTAACCACTGCACCAGCATGGCTTCCCAAATCAGGTTAAAGGGGCTGTAGAGTGTCAAAATGCCCCTTTCTACCACGGGGCTGGCTTTGCACCGCAGAAAATAAAAGTGAGGGGAGGAAGGCTGTTTTGGATTTATTTTCTCTTTTTCCATTTTTCACTGTGCAAAGCCAGTCCCATATGGTTCAGGAAGACAACCAGAAGGGCTCTGGCTACTTTAAGCTGCTTTATGCTTCCCCGCCCCACTCTCCATTTTTGCAAATCAAAGCCAGCACCATATAGTCCAACAGCCAGGCTGGGCATACCCCAGCAGCAGCAGGAACAAGAACATGGTGGTGAAGGTTAGCACAGAGTGGCAGGGTCCAAAATGATACAGAAGTGGAGGAAGATAGATGGATGGGGGAGTTGCAATGTCCCTGTGATCATAAGTGCAAGTGAGCTGCCAAGTGCCCAAATTTTCATCAAATTTCTCCTACTGGTACATGCTAATTTTCTTCAATTATCAGCTGGAACAAGGGTCTCCAACCCCCGGGCCGTGGCCCATTACTAGACGGCAGCATGTTTTAAACATATATATATACCCTAGCTCAGTAGAATCACATCCACTCGATTCTGGGCATTTTTCTTTTCTGGCAGCCAGCAAGTTCCTGCTGCCAGGTGAGATACTTATATAGATCTATTTCTAGCTCATTAGCCTTCATCAGTAAGCCACACCCACATCTCATGTATGATTCATCAGTAAGCCACACCCACAGGGAGGATACATTGCCCCTGTATGATATACCATACACTAAATAAATAAAATAAATTCATCAAATTGACAATAGAGGCGTTGCAATGGCCATAACTTTGGGTATGAGTCGCAATTCCCTTCATTCAGTGCCATCGTATCTTTGAACAATCATGGAATGAATGGTCATAAATCAAGGACTACCTGTAGCTATTTTCTCTAGAGTATGGAGAAAGAAACTGTCCTCTTAAAGGAATGTCCAAAGGAGAATAAGAATCCCTTTCAGCCTCAAAAAATACCATTACATGAAGTTAAAATGCTAAATTGGATGTTGCCTTACATTAACGATCCCATTGACAATGGCATTCAGTGTTGGCCTTATAAGACCTCCAGATGATATCATGAGGAGGGTGTATTGGGCAAAGCCTCCAGGTCCTGAATGGGTATGGGTTCCAGTCATTATGACATTGTTCTGATTGTAGAGATCTCCGTACTTATATTTTAACTGCTTCAGTACCTTAAAAGAAAGGTTTGAAAGAAATATATTGTCTTTCATTGTTCCATTTTACTTTTATATAAAATATTTTCAATAGGACAAGGAGAGGGAAGAAGAGAAGAGAAGAGAAGAGAAGAGAAGAGAAGAGAAGAGAAGAGGAGAAGAGAGAGAAGAGAAGAGAAGAGAAGAGAAGAGAAGAGAAGAGAAGAGAAGAGATGAGATACTGGTCATTCCTCACCTACCTCTAGCCTTACTCTTTCAGACATCATTCCTATTTCAGCAACTATGTGCACTACTCGTTTGGTGGGATTCTGTCGCTCTGCAAGGATGAAAGTTCTACAATATTGTCGTGAGAGGATGCCACCACCTTTCTGATCAGGATTGGCATACCCCAGCTACAGTGAAACACAACATGTCATTATTAATTCATTTGTTTAAGATTAAAAACTGCTTTGGTGGTTATTGACTTTGAGTGACTAAGTAAAAAAAATAAAAAATAAAATATAGGAATATAAATCCTTACATTCTATACTCATAAATCCTTACATTCTATACTCATAAATCCTTACATTCTGTACTCATATTGTTATACTCTATATTCTCATATAGGAACGATAATTAGTCTCTCACATCGTGCCATCATCCTGAACCAAGGAACATCAAGCAAACTCATATATGCCCCTGATTTTACTGTAAGAGGAAATCTAATCATCTCAATCCCATTTTGGAACAGCCAACCTTTTTTAGGATTATTGCCAGATTAAACATGGGAGAAATACTGTTCCAAAAAAAGTGGGGTGAGGGAGAAATGCAGAAGACCTTGCAATCCCTGATGGTATTACCTCTTCAGCAGCGGTGAAATTCAATTTCTTTTATTACCAATTCTGTGGCCGTGACTTGGTGGGCATGATGTGACTTGGTGGGCGTGGCTTGGTGGGCATGGCAAGTGAAGGATACTGCAAAATTCCCATTCCCTCCCCACTTCAGGGGAAGGATACTGCAAAATTCCCATTCCCTCCCCACTTCAGGGAAAGGATACTGCAAAATTCCCATTCCCTCCCCACTCCTAGGGGAACAATATTGCAAAATCTCCATTCCCACCCCAATTTGGGGCCAGCCAGAGGTGGTATTTGCCGGTTCTCCAAACTACTCAAAATTTCCGCTATCAGTTCTCCAGAACCTGTCAGAACCTGCTGGAACCTGATAACTAGGCTGTGAGCTATTGAGGCCAGGCAAATACTCACCAAAGGTACTTCAGCTATAGGACCAGTACAATCCGCCCGACCAACACCGATTAAGTAACCCTCAGAACCTTTAGAGAATTCAGGAACAGCATCTGAAAAAAACATAGATAAAGAGCCTTGGTAGTACAGTGGTCTAAAGCACCCTGTTATTAAGACCAGCTGCCTGCAATTACTGCAGGTTCGAATCTCGCCAGGCTCAAGGTTGACTCAGCCTTCCATCGTTTCTAAGGTAGATAAATTGAGGACCCAGTTGTGGGGGCAATAAGCTGACTTTGTATAAATATACAAAAGGATGAAGGCTATTGCTTAGCGCATTGTAAGCCGCCCTGAGTCTCCGGAGAAGGGCGGCATATAAATCAGATTTTTTTAAAAAAAAAAAAATTAAAAAAAAATTAGGCATTCCTTCCAAGACAGGAGCAGGGTTATGCAGAATTTCAAATTTAAAAGCCTATCTAAAATCTTAAACCTAGGTTGATACGGGTGAAAGAACACTGCTTGAGGGGTTCAAAATTAAGTCCAATGAAATGAAACACAGCACAGCACCTTCAGGATGAGAAGAAGTGTGTTTCCTCAAAAACACCGGTTAAAAAAACAACTAGTTTATTTTCTTTGTCACCTTTCTTTCTTTCTTTCTTTCTTTCTTTTTTTTTTTTGGTTGTTGTTGCAAATTTTATTTCCAAGTTTGATAAGCAACAAAATCAATGGTGGAATGGAAGATTATGACATCTGTCTCTCACTATTGTTAATAGATCCCAAAGAAGCCAGTATGTTTGCTTTTAAACTGACTGCGCCCCGCTGTCCTTATGCTGGACTTTGACCGTAATAAAGATCTGATTGGTTTCAGATGCTGTCTTGCTTTTTCTTTTCCTTTGGGCAAAAAGGAAGAGAACACAAGGAACCAAGGGAAAAGTATAAATAGTGCCATTTTTAGAAGAAAGCTTTAGGAAATTTTGAGTCCCTCAGGAATAATGTTTCAAGGCACTTACTATCCCTTAACTTTTTTTTTTTAATTTAGCTTAGTTTCCCCTTTTTCTCTTATTTTCCCCCATTATGTGCCTTGCTATATCCATGCCTGTCACCAGAGTACAACCTTCAACACTGCAATGTAACAATTACCATCGGAAAAGAAATACAATTTGAGAATTAATTGTAAACACCTAATCCTTTTCTATTTTTATGCCAGGACCATCCTTTCTTCAAAATCTTCTGGCCCAGTATTTTCTCTTCATTGTCATCTCATCTGTCTTCTTTTTTAATGAGCACATGGGAACATGAATACTCTGGGGTAAAAAAAATCTTATGAGGGAAAATGAATGGACCAAAGTCATTCCAATCCCATCCTTGGTAGGAAATCTCTCAAGTGCAATTGATAATAACTTCATGGACACCACTATTCCATCACTATTACAATACTGATAGAAGACCTCCAGAGACTTACCACTTGGCTGAACATAGAGGACTAAGAGGGATATGACCACCGCTAGCACTACCATCACGAAGGCAACAGTAACAATGCCAAGAGCAATTGCTGTTTTGGATTTCATCAATGGAACAGCAACTATAAAAAGAAAAGTAGAGGAAATAAGTCAAAAGAAGTATCGGTAACCTAGGTAGATGTCTTATATATCTTTGGATAACCTCAAATATTTTGTACTCATGAAGAAGAAGACCACACAGTCTCACAGACGGAAGTCAATCTCAATAAGACAGGTGGTTAGGGCTGCAAGGTGGATTACAAAATATCCATAACTCTGGCTTCCAGTTACTTAATACTACCATTGATCCTTGGGCAACTGTTTCACATTATCCAACAGTAGCAATAGCTGTAGCACTTACACTTATATACCGCTGCACAGTGCTTTACAGCCCTCTCTGAGTGTTTTACAGAGAAAGAATATTACACCAGGGGCAGGTTCCAAATCCTGTTGCTACGGGTTTGCTTGTGTGTGCGCACAGCACTTCTGCACATTCGCAGAAGCGTCCAGGCAGGTGGGCAGAGCCTTCCACCACCGCCGCTACCGACTCACCTGATCCGGTGCAAACTGGTAGCAACCCACCACTGTATTACACCCAACAATCTGAATCCTCATTTTACCAACCTCGAAAGGATGAGTCAACCTTGACCTGGTGACACTTGAACTGCTGAACTGCTGGCAGTTGGCAGTCATCAGAATTAGCCTGCAATACTGCATTTTAACCACTGCGCCACTATGGCTCATAGGAGAGCCTGTCTTGATTTTATTTTTACATATGCAGCATGCCCAGAGCCTGGTTAGCTACTATCTTGTGTTCTCTCTCTGTTTTTTAACCAACCAAAATCAAAAGCAGAGGAAAAGAATGCACAAAATTATTGAAAAGAGGAGAGTTAGAAAAAAGAAACAGAAAGGTATAAAATGTATATTTACAGACATGCATATATCAAAACAGATGAAGCTAAAGCTCAAAAACAGCCACCAAATGAGAAGAGAGGACTCACTGGAAAAGATTCTGATGTTGGGAAAGATTGAAGGCAAAAGGACAAAGGGACGGCAGAGAATTAGATGGTTAGACAGTGTCACCAACACAATGATAATGTCACCAAAGCAATGATAGTGTCACCAACGCAATGCATGAATCTGGGCAGATTCAGGGAGACAGTGGAGGATGGTGGAGCCTAGCCTGCTATGGTCCATGGGGACAAATATATCAAAACATTGAATATATTCAATTACAGTCATCCTTAGTTAATTTATATTAATCTATTCAGCAAACCACCAAATAGCTGGAGCTATTTGTTTGTTTTTCTGAGGCTGGACTCTTTTGATTGTGATTTTTTTTTTTTTTAGTTTGGCCACGAGTCGATCCCCATGTGATAAGAGATAGAATATAAATAAAAAGAGAGCTATTGTCTTGAACTGGAAAATACAAAAGCACCCTTACCTGATGAATGGTTGCAGAAGAAAGCTGGAAATTCCTGTATTTCACTGTGTAGAATTTGGACTCTTCTCCTTGTTCTTCATGGATACTGAAAGAAACACAGAACTATCAAAATAACATGGTAGCGTGGGGGGACAGTCGAAGTGGTTTCTAACGACATTCCACTGAGAAAGAAAAGTTTTGCATGTTACTCTCACTTTTATAACATAGAAATTTTATCATACTGTTATAATCTAGCAATGCTTTTATAATCTAGCAATTGAGAATAGCATTATCTAACGAGGATTCCCTGATAACCTCTGCTTTATCATTTAATACTGGGGAAGAAAAACAAGTAAGCAAGATCATATATCACTTCAACCTTGAACTCCTAACCTCCTGAAATTTGCAGCATTTAGACAGCAAAGTCCATGTGTATGTATGTATGTATGTATGTATATGTATGTATGTGTGTATATACTCACAAATATATACATCTACATATGTAAAAGTGAAATACCACTCACACATCATCACAAAATCTCCAGAACCTTTAAAGCCTAAAAACTTGAAATTTGGCCCATATGTTTCTCATGGCTTCTAGGTGCTCACTAAGAAAGGATTTTTCAAAATGACTATCAGATCCTTGGTATTTTTTACATTATTATTAACACGCTCTGATGCTAAGGAGTTAGACTTTCTACTCCCCTTCCCCATCTCAAAAGAACTCTATTCCAACTGCCACTTGGGTGTGGGCTTGGCCAGCATATGACTCATCTGGCCTGCGGGCTGGGAGTTTAAACATCCTACTCTCCACCTGAAAGGGAGAGAAGGGGATAAGATAGGAGAGGCCTCTGTGGGGCAAGCCTGAGGGAGAGAAGGGGATAGGAGAGGATCATTGGAGCCAGCCTCAGTGAGAGAAAGGGATAAGACAAAAGAGGCCTCTGTGGGGCAAGCCTGAGGAAGAGAAGGGGATAGGAGAGGATCAATGGGGCCAGCCTGAGGGAGAGTAGCGGGATAGGAGAGAGGAGGCTTCTGTGGGGCAAGCCTGAGAAAAAGAAGGGGAGAGGAGAGAATGATCATAACTACTAATTAATTTTCAAGCTGTAAGTGTCAATTTATCAAGCCCGATCACATAGTTTTGTAGCGGCACATAGGTATCCAGCTACTGTATGTGTATATATACATTTGGTATAAAATGGTTTGTAATGAATGCGACTGCTTGAGGGCTCCTGGATTGGAGCTGAAAGGTGAAAGGGAAGTAGTATGCTCCCTCCCATATTGGGGTAGACCAGGTGCTTCAACAGAAAAACACTTTATATATATATATATATATATATGCCTATCATCAAAAGAGAAGCAAAGAAGAGATCATGGGCTGTTTTTTTATTGCTCTTTTAACCAGATGATGCCCAATAAAAATGCCAGGGTCTGGCACAACAATGCAATGCAGATCTTGCAAATCAACAGAATATGGGGCTAGCAAGCGTCCAACTCTTTTCTGAGCAGCACCCCAGGCTTCCCCTCCCAAGAGCTACAAAGGAGGCCTTCATTTAGGGAAAACTCAATCCCGAAATTGTAATGATATCTGGGAATGACCTTGAGAAAAATGGGGGAAGAGATGATGCCTAGTGAATGATCAGATGGGGAGGGAGGGAGCTTAAAGCTACATAAACTGGCAGAGAAAAAAAACCAGAAAGGAAGCTGCCTAGTTTATCAGGCTGCAAAAAGAGAAGGTAGAAGATTTGTACTTTCAGACTTGCAAGATTTTGTTAATGTAGCCTTATCATAGAGTAGAATAAGCTCATCTGGTTGTGTTTTCTGTTGGTTTACCTGGGAAGGCTGGAGGGCCAGTGCCTTCTTCCCCAGGATCAGAGGTGGTATTCATCCGGTTCAGACCGGTTCGCGCAAACCGGTAGGGGAAATTGCAGGTGAGCCCGCCCTATGCCGTCCTATTTAGGCACATTTTTGAGGCCGAGCGCATGTGCGGAAGGTGCGTGCGTGAGCAAAATGGATGCGCAGAAAGCCGGGCGCATGCACGGAAGGCGTGGAAATGAAGCGCACGTGCACACGTGTGGCAAATTGGTGGTAACAAAATGTGAGACCCACCGCTGCCCAGGATGTTTTTTTTTTTAACTTTTCAGATTGGAAATGTAACCTTGTAACCTTGTGAAAAATGTTGGCGTGTATTTACTGATGAAAACGATATACATACACAACTGACATCCTGTTTAAGCAATAAAATAACATGAAAACAGATACCGCGTGTTGTAACCAGCAACTTTTGTGCTGAAGGCTAAGAATTACTGATTGCGAAGATAAGATTTTTCACTGTACAAAACGCCATTAAGTGTTATCAGAGTTTGTTCTATAGGACATGACGGATTTGATAAATTGTGCAATGATAATAGCTGTTTCGAACGTTTGATTCATTACCAACAGATCACATGAAACTTGAATGTTATCAAATACTGTATTGTTTGCTGATACAAACTCCAGGCTAGAAAATAAAGTTCAACGGATTTAGAAGGCATCAGATTGAAAATGGTTGGGTTCATCTATTGATCCCAATTCAACTAACGGTTAACTATGATGGCTATGATATTAATAACTTGCAATCACATTGCCCGTGGTTTGAATGGGACTTTAGATGTGAACCTCATGCATACTTCATATTTCATTGGAAGGAATTGAAATTTCATGCCCTTGTAATCTCTGAGACTACAGGAATTTTCATGACCTTGAAAATGTCCTATAAATAGCAGCTGGGAAGAATACATGTGCCCAGGGGTGAAATCCAGCAGGTTCTAACAGGTTCTGGAGAACTGGTAGCGGAAATTTTGAGTAGTTTGGAGAACTGGCAAATACCACCTCTGGCTGGTCCCAGAATGGGGTGGGAATGGTGATTTTGCAATATCCTTCCCCTGCCACGCCCACCAAGCCACACCCACAGAACCGGTAGGGAAAATTTTTGAATTTCACCCCTGCATGTGCCTATTTTCTGATTGGCACTATCCAGTTCAGTACAATGCCGATTACTTTTCAGGAACTGCCTTGGTCAGCCACAGACTTTGGAGTCTAATGCAAGTTGCTGGTCATAACCTATAAAACCCAACCTGGCTTGGGCCCTTCTTACAGGTAGCCTTCGACTTACAACCAAAATTGAGAGCAGAATTTCTGTCGCCAAGCAAGAAGGTTTTTAAATGAGTTGTGCCCAATTTTATTACCTTTCCCCCCCCCCCAAAGTTATTAAACGAATCATGCAGTTAAATTGTTAAATGAATCCAGCTTACCCCCATTGGCTTTGCTGGTTGGAAACTGGCTAAGAAGGTCACAAATTGTAATCCCAAGACCTCCTGTCACTGCAACCATCATTAAGGACAATGCCTGTTGCCATGAGCTTGAATTTTGATCTCATGATCAATGCGGGGACACTGTAAGTGTGAGGACCAGTCATTAGTCAGAACGATCACTAAACAAATTGTTTTAAGTCAAGGACTACCTCAAGTTACAACAGTTCATTCAATGACCGTTCGAAGTTATAACAGCAATGAAAAAAATGACTTATGACCCTTTTTCACACTTATGACCACTGCAGCATCCCCATGGTCATGTGATTTACATTCAGAAGCTTGACAGCTGGTTT